CGAGTCACGAGACCGGAAGAGTGGAACGTGTGACAAGAAATGAGATTTATTTCAGCATGGGAGTGGTGAGACGGAACGAAAACAGAATAATTCGATGCTTCATACGTTCGCTGAGACGAAACAATTGAAATTTCATGGACGATTTAGTGGTAATTTTTACAAGAACGACATTCAATTCGATTCAGGCGAAAAAAATCATGAAATTTTAGGGATTATTCCCCCCATCACTCTTCCGACCAATAGAATTGCGGTAGTCGACGGCCCCTGGACCAATCAAAAGAGAATTCACGCACGAAAAAATTTAATAGAAAAACCTATCGAATTCGTTAGAAAATTTTATTGAATTTCTATTAAAATTTCTATGAGTTTGGCTGATTGTAGTTTCTGACATGTTCAATAGAAAACATTCAATAGAAAAAGTCAACAGAATTCGATTTTTCTATGTAATTTTGCTCGACTCAAATTTTTTAATTTCTTTTCATTCTATTTTTCTTTTCTTCTCATCAAGAAAATCAAGCGAAATCAAGCGAAAATTTGAGCAGAGGAAATTCTATTGACTTTTTCTACTGAATATTTTCTATTGGACATTTTAATAGAATCGACCAAAAACTAATAGAACAGTTCAATAGGAGTTCAATAGAATTTTCTAACGAATTCGATAGGTTTTTCTATTAAATTTTTTCGTCCGTGTTATATCGATAATTTTCCGTCGTTCGGTAATTTTTCCGTTGACAAGCAGAATAACAAAAAATTGTCAATTGTACCACGATGACACCGTTGGGGAAAATAATCCGTCGAATACCCCTTGAGCTTCAAAATAAGAATCAAAATTTCGAAGAAGTGTATCGGAAAATTTCAGCCAAAATTTTAACAGCGCTGTTAATCAGTGAAATTATCTGAATTTTCAGAAGTTTAGAAGTTCAATGGAACCGTGTGGAAACTATCAACAAAGGAAATAACGATAATTAACGACATTGGAATATTCATTGATATGGTAATTCTTAGTGGACCATTTCTCTAGTGGATTTTCTCCCAGAAGTCCTTTTGTTCCGACGTAAATTCATAATCAACAAAAGTGATGAAAATGATTTATGACGCTCCACAATTTCACTACAGATTCGACGTGACAGGGCCCTTAAACTGAATTATTCATTTTCCGAAGGAGGATTACCTCAGAATTTCGACATTAAAATAATTATGTTCCTAAACAAATTAAGCAGGTCCCAACTAAGCAAAAATACAGATAAAATATTCACGTTCCCCAGACCCCTCGAGATGAGATTGTTTTGAAAACAATTTGGCATTGAACCAAAATTCAAAGCAATCTGGAAATTCCTCCCGTAAAACTTTCTCACCGATTAGTAAAACAACAGACATCACGAACGTGACTCCAAGGATCAGAGCTTCAACTCTTCGCTTGCAAACCAGGAAAATCATCATTACATATTGTTCTGTCAATAATACCGCTACCTGCGGCACACGAACACTCCGGAGACGAATGGGTTTCAACTGCGCACGTCTGTGACTCCTCGTCAAGATAATTGTTTGCAAATGATGACTTGGGGCGTGAAATGAAAATAAACTCTTACCAATTTTAGCAAAAAATTCACTTATAATTTTCTAAATTAAAATGATATTTTTTGTCCTTCACACAAAGAGGACAGTAATCTCATTTATGAACTAGATAAAACAGAAATGCCATCCGGAATTTAAAAGAGAAGCCATGAATAATGACGAAACTTTTTTATGTCAAGTTTTTTTCGTATGACTGGTTCGGTTTCTTCCGTTTATTAATACAATATTTGATTTTTGAAATTGTTTGACACCTATTTGTGAAATATTTTCCGTCCAGTGTGTTTATTATTTTGTGTGATTGATGTGGTTGTTAAATAATGAGACAGATTGACTGATTGATTGATGAAAATTACTATTGAATGTCTTAGAATGAAGGCATTCCCTCAGGACAATTTACGCATGTGAAATTGCGTAACTATTTTTTTTGAGACCGACGACGGTGGCCGAAGTGGTTAAGGTGTCGGTGGGCCGGATTAACGGACCCGTGCGGTGCGGGTTCCAGTCCGGCTTCGAGTGATGTGACTTTTAATAAGTCGGAAAGTGTTGGATGAGAGTGTAGACACCGGGAGTCATCGGGATAGAGTATCGTGCTTATCCATTATGTTTTATACACTGTTAAAATTTTTTGTCTGAATTTTCCGTGCCAAATTCTGGAAATTTTTGTCGTGTTCAAGTTCCACTGAAATTTCAGGAAATCGTGTCATTGAAAATTCAGAATTTCGTGCAAAAATCAAACAGAACTGCGAATTTCCGTTGCATTTTGCAAAAGACGTGGGGGTGGGGTGCACCTATAAAAAGCCTAATCAACAAAAAAAGAAACGGTTAAAATTTTAAAAAATAAAAAACTTGAAAGTTTAAAATAAAAAAAAACAATTTTCTTCAGAATGGCATACGTTGGATGCAAGGAAGGGGCGGGAGAGCCAACAGAGCAACTTTTTAATTGTTACAATTGTTAATTGTATTTTGGAAATTACTGTTTTCGAAATTATTTACTTCTTGTTAATTACATCACTCATTAACCAGAATTGTACTTTAATTGGTAAAAAATATTTTTAATATTCACCATTTGTTTCTGTTAAATATTTTCTGTGCAAAAACACTTTTCTTCTCATGAAAGCGGATTTAAGGGAAAGAGTCATATGAAATTTCAAGTTTAAGTTTAAATTCAAGTGAACTAGAATAGTTTTACGCGAAAATAAAACGGGAATTTACGAGCTTGCTTGAATTTTCAATTGAACGAGAATATTCAATATCAGACTTTGCTGAATTCTTAATTTTGAATAATTTTCAGTGGATAATTGATTTTCTCATTTTATTTTTCCGCAAATTTTTGACGAATGGCATTCCCACAAAAGTTTCCGAGTTTGAGACGAAATTTTTTAACGGTTCAATACAAAATAAGGATGCTTCCCTCTCGCTCTCTCTTTACATGATGAAATGAAAAAAAAATGGAAACTGTTGAAGTCGGAATTAATTATGAGGCGTTAGAATACTAATCGGCCATAATTCTGAAGTATTAACGAGGCCAGACTTGTAGCATTGTGAAATTCATTCTCGTGGCACCCGATGAGGGCTGGGGTCATTACCATGTTCATTATACCCTCAAGTCAAATTCATCATCTCACAAACGCATACGAATTCGGATTAAAATCCTCATTGCACCCATCACATTTCACATATAAAATTCCTCAAAAATCACCAATCCGGGGAATTTTCTTGAATTTAAAGCGAAAAATGCTTGCATTTCCTCATGAAATTTCTGGTGCTGCACATTTTACCGCACTTCAAAGTAATTTTTCTCATAATTTACTCTCCATGTAAGTTGAAGTCGACAACATCAAACAATAGATTTCACGATTTATCGGACGATTGACTACACCCCGCGGCCTCTAAATCAATTGTTTATTTAGCAAGAGGTTTTCCACTTATTCGAGGATAATTTCAATCGGTCGTTGGCCAATTTTATTGCAATATCACTGATTGCAATGGTTTCACTATCATATGATCTCTACCAGTTTGAATTAACGATAAAAAATCATTGTGACGGGCTTTCGAAATATCTGTAAAGATCGATTGAATCGTCACACGGATGCCTGGAGAAAAAAAATCGCACGAAAAATTACTGTACAATCTAGGTAATCGGACAGTGAAATCGGATTTCAGGAATTTTTGTTGGAAATCCAGGAACAAATGTGAGGAATAGGAGAAATTTCCCCTTTTGTAATTTCATTTTCTGTACACTGTTCGACAAAAATTGAAATTTCATGGACAAGTGACTAGTTATTTTTTGAAGAGTGACATTTAATTTATTCTTAGTGGAAAAAATTAGTGAAATTATAGATTTTTAAGCAGTTGGAAGATAAGAATTCCCCAACTTATTAGAATTTTCGATCAGAATATGAATATTTCGTACCAGATTACCAATAATTTTCAATTAATTAAAAATTGACGAATATATTTAACTGTATTTTCCTGATTTCTATTAATTTGCATAGAATAATTGAACTAAAATTCACAATTTCCATAGATTTCTCCGCAAAACTTTGAATTTTCATTGGCGAAATTCCTTGAAATTTCTGTAAAAGTCAAATGTATAATAGAAATTTCCCAGACGTGTACCGGCAATTTCAGCAAAAAATGTTCAACAGTTTAAACAAACAGGAAAATTAGTGAGCATCTAGTAACTTTTTCCCATTTTCTTTGCAATTCACCCTAAGGAGAGCCCAATTTCCCTGATACTACCACTGATTCAACAATTACCTCCAGATATGCCTTCAATTAATATTTTGCTTAAAAAAGTAACGAAATTACAATTTCTAAGTAGTAGGACCATGAGAATGCCCCAACATACTTCTATTTTCAATCAAAACATGAATATTCAGTACCAGATTACTCTGAATTTTCCTGATTTCTCCCAATTCTCATGGAATAATTGAACTAAAATTCACAGTTCCCATGATCTTCCACAAAACTTTGAATTCTCAATCACAAAATTCCCTGAAATTTCTATGAACCAGAAATGTGATAGAATTTTCCGAAACGTGTCCTTGAAATTTCATCCGAAAACGCTCACCATTTAAAACAAACAGCGAAATAAATGAGCATCCAGTTACGTTTTCCCATTTTCTTCGCAATTTTTCGTCTATTTTTTCCTCCCTGGCACAGCAATCCTTCGAACACCCCCAAGGAGACCCCGTTTTCCTTGACAATATCATTGATTCAACAATGACTTCCCCCCATCAATTAATTTTTTCTCCCGAGTCCTTAGGGTCAGGGGAATTAACCTACGATTGCTCTTCCTTCTTCCCCCATTTACCCGATCTTGACGCGCATAGTGTAGCGTGGAGGTGGCTGGGCCCCTGGGTAAGCCCCTCCTGCTAATAAAAGCCGCTCACTGTACGGCGCCACACACAGACAGTCACAGATAGCGAGACAGAGCAGGAGCCCCGCGAGCTCCCACTATTTTAACCCGAGTCCGAGTTTAAGTTTATCGATAACGGATTTACGTGTGTGGTGAGTTCACTGGTTCATCCCAATCTCAAAATAATATCATAAACTCAAAAAAAAAATCATCAAGCCTTCACAACCCCCCAAAACTCTTAAAAAAAATTTCCAAAATTGGTTTTATCTCGAGTGAAACTGTGGAGTGACGAGAACCCGCCAAGTTTCAAAGGCAATCTCACCCCTGTGGCACCACCAGTGATCATGCATAAAGAAATGAGTGAAATTCTCTAGAAATAATTTCGCATGAAAGACGATTGAATTTATAAAGTGAATCCTTGCGGTTTTCATTCTGTCGTCCAAAAATTCGTTGGCCTTTGAGGTGTCCAAAGTGATTGGAGTTGGCCGTCAAGTTGAGCGCGTGAGCGCTCCCATGTGTCCTCGGTTTCGCGGGCCTGCGTGCTCAATCCCCCTTTGTACCCTCCACGCCCCCCCCCCTCGCGGATTTTTGATTGAATGATTAGCATGGCGATTCACGTATGAAAATCCGTGACTTGGCTCGCGCCTAAATGGGCACTGATACCCGAGAAACCCACGGATTATTTTTTCTCAATGTCCAGATACTGTTGCAAAAATTCCACTTTCGATATTGCACAACGTGTGGCTTTAATTGAAATTCAGGATTTTTTTTTTTTCATTTTTTCTTTCATGATGCCTTACAATGCGCGATACTGCTTGTGCTCCACAACTTTCGATTCTTCTTGAACGAAAGTGAGTCTGTTGGTGTATTTCGTGCTCGAGAAAGGTGAACACCTTTTTCTTTCACGCTGGCCAATCTTTTGAGATTCGAAGTCCTTTCAAATTGCTTCCGTCGCCCCTCACTTTTACAACACTTTTGATGATAAAAATAATCGTAAAAGTGCGAGGGGCATTGGGCAACTCATCGAAGAGTCATTAATATTTTCATGGTTATTTTGGTTCTTCATGGTTGGACTTGTTTTTTTTTTTCAGAATAATCACGGTCTTGTGCACGAGCGATGAAGTTCACAGCGACAATCCTTGCGGCCGCGTGCCTGATTGCTCTAGTCAGCTCTATTCCAGTTCCCGAGAGCGAGGGACTTCAATCTCAGGTGAGTTTTTTGCTGCATCCGCTGGAGATTGATGCGGGCTTGTTATCAGTGTAATTAATAGAGAAAACATAGTGTTAACCTTGTTTTGTGGGGGAAAAAAGTGGGCATCGATTGGCTCTGATCATCCTTGATCTCAATGGAGAGAATCACTGCGGAAGACCTTGTTTGCTAAGAGTTTAATTGATGAGTGGAAATCATGGCAATTGTCTTTTTGTTTTTAAAAATAAGTTGTTTGAAGGTAATTTTTTGTAAGAGACATTGTTGACATTGGGTTTTTGAATGTCATTGGAATTCACTGGATTTAATTTACGGATCTCTTCAGGGTTTTATTCAGATTGAAGGAAAGGGGAGTTTATTTATTTATTTTTGACGGAATTCCAAGACATTTGCGACTAGCTGTCGCCCTCGGGCGCAATTATTTTGCGAATATTTCGGTAATTTTTTAATTTAAAAAACGATTTCTTGAAAGACTGAACCTGGAGGTCGTGAAATTATGGAGAGAAAAATGTTTTGAGGGATGGGAATAATAGAAAAATTGTGAAATTAAATTTTTTCAATCTCATTAGACTTGAATGGATAATTTTATTGGTCTCTTCAGGGTTTTGTCGGAATTGGAAAGAAGGAAAACACTATTTTTCGGGGATTCTATGAATCATTGTATTTAAAATATGATAATTATTTAAAGAAAGATGTTTTCATGAAGTGGAATCATTGAAAAGTCGTGGGATAGTTAATATTGGGTTTCTGGATTTAAATGGATTTACTTTATGGGTCTCCTCAGCATTCTAGATTAATTAAAGCAGTAGGAAGAAGGTTATTTTTGAATATTTTATGAAATATTGATTTAGGAGAATAATTTTAATTAATTTTTTCTAAAGTTCATGGGAATATCCAAGAGAATGTGGTTGGATGGATTCTTCAAAACTTTATCGCTGGAGAAAGACTGCTCGCGCTGCATAAAACTAATTATAGTCATCGAATCAATTTTATTCTCCTGAAACATAATTAAACATCACTTGATATAATTTATTACTTTCTTCAGGGTTTCATTCAAATTGAACCTTCATTTTATTCGAAGGAAACTGAAAGATTCGGAAAAATATGAATTACATTTTTTTTCAACGAACTATTTACGAAATATCTCCCGATTTATTCATTTAAAAAATAGAGTTTAAAACCCTTTTTTCGAATTCATGAAATTTACCACAAAAATTGTCTGACGAATTCTCTTAAATCTAATATTCCAACGGAAACAAGTGTTGAATTCGGAAAAATCAGCGCAGAAATTGAGTTAATTATTTGCCAATTTTTCTCAAGCTCCGGAAAACAATTATTGTTATTTAACGGATACTTCACCTTTCGGTGCTGCAAACAGCTAAAAATCGCTATTAATACCGGAACGTAAAAATAGGAAATAAATGTACTAGTTTTTAATTTAACAATCCCAAATTTTGCAACAAAACACAAGCAGAATAATGACGTTCTAATCCAGATATGCATGCAAATTACGAAACCTAATAAGAATGAAAAGAAGATATCAATTATTCGCTTCAAGTTTAAAATAAAAAATAATTAATTAACATTTTTTTTCTCTTTAAAGAATTTTAACCAGTGAATGGATTTAAAAAAATGAATGTTTGAATATTTATTATTCAAATTATCTTAGTTTCTGTGGGATCAAACATCTGGACTAGAGGCCGAGCCATAAAAATATGAAATATGAATCCTCAAGTGTAAGACGTTGCATTCCACTCTCGCGTGGAAAGTAACAGTAGTATCTGAGCACGAGTCAGCTTTTCACGTTTTCGCTAAGAGCCAGGGGATTATCTCAGCGTCTCGTCTCCACCTACCGAGATATTTTCCCTTCCTGCGGCGAATCTCCGCTCTTTCCTAATGAAATATATTTCAAAAAAAATCCCAGTGCCTCTCGTCGCGACAATCAGAGTAAAAAGATGCCTTGAATGCGTCCAGATAACTCAGAGATACTCGAAACAAAGAGTGCATTCTCGGAAATGACAAATGGCTTTTGAAAGGTGGAAAAATAATTCCGGAGTGCAAGCGCTTGTAATTCCAAACGAGGTGCACTTGAAAGATCGGTGCATTCAACGTGACTCAACAAGCGGTTTAATGACAGAATCGGGAAGTCAATTACCGACAGTGTGAATCGCCCTGCGTTGCATAAAAATACGGGAACCGGGGGAATGCGGCTAGTTATGAGCTTTTTCATAAACTAGAGAAGGACGATCGGAGCGTGTGGGCTCATAGGCATCAATATTTCTTTTTCGTTTCCACTGTCCTGTGGCCTGAGCTACTCGGATGTCGTGGGTAACGCACACATGTTTATTGTGGTACACGCGCTCTTTCGTATTACTTTCACTCGCTTCAAGACTGTCTGACTAACTCGCCAACTGGACACTTTCTTCGCTCGATCGATGGCGAGATGGGAAAGTACATGCCGTCTTTTGAGTACTGAGAATGGGAATTTATTCAAATTTTTTTTCGTGAATTTATTCGTTGTTTAGAATTTTTTGAGAGGAAACACAGAAATTTATGATTTGTTATCTCAAAGTTGAGGGAAATAATTCCCTTTTTTTCTTTAATAATTATGTAGCTTGTAATTTGCATACATTTTAGTGCAGTGATTAGAGTAGGCTAATTAACGCCAGTAGCTCAAAGGGAACCCTGTGGCATTGAATTCTCGAGGAATAAAATATATTATACTTCATTTGATACATTTTATTGCTCTTCTCAGGTTTTATTAAATATGGAAATGTAATATAAAGAAATATGAAGGAATCGGTTCTTGCTCGTAAAGTTTTGCACAAAAAAATCTTGGACTTAATCATATGTTACTTTACTCGATTAATTTAATTGCGTAGAAACTAAAATTTTTAACAAAAAAAATTTAGTGTTGAGAATAATTTTTATTCAAGATTTTTTTCAAACTTTAATCATTGATTAGACATTTGGAAAGTGGAATAATTGACGTTTAGGATTTGTTAGTTCAAACTTGATTGAAGTAATTACTTTTTTTACATAATTACATGGTTTGTAATTTGTGGCATTGAAAAACCCTGGGGCATTGAGTTACCGAATGTAATTAAACTTCACTTAATGAATTAATATTTGATGGAAAGATATAATGTAAAAAAATCTTGGGAAATATGAAGGAATTATTCTTGTTCATAAAATTTTGCACAAAAAATTTTGGACTCAATCATGCAACTTTCTTCGATTAGTGTAATTCCACACAAACTAAAATTTTCAAGACAAATATTTCAAGTATTGAGAATACGAATTTATTCAATTACTTTTCAGTGAATTCCTTCATTGTGTAAACATTTGCAGAAGGATACAAATTAAAATTTATCATTTTTCATTTCACACTTGAATGCGATAACTAACAATTCGTTTTCATTATCACATGGTTTGTAATTTGCATATATTTTAGTGGATTGATGAAAGTATCTGAATTAATTCCACTATCCCAAAAAAATCCCCTTGCATTGAGTGCTCGAATACAATTGAACTCCACTCGATAAATTTTATTGTTTTTCTCAAATTCCGCCCAATCTAAAATATTTATGTAAATACTCATTCATTGTTTAAAATCCATTCACTGCTTAGAATTCTTTAACCAGAAAAAATATGAAAATTCACTATTTTCTTTTTCAAAATTGAATTAAATAGTCAACATATTTTTTCCATTGCTATTAAATGTATCGTAATTTGCATGTAATTGGGTGATTTGTTCATGCCTTGATTTGAAGGAGTGAGTAATGTTTTCACTTAGCATTTTTTTCTGTATTTTCGCTTCAGAGAATTTGAGCAATTTTCTCATTTTTTGCATGAGCAAAGGGTAACAATGTGTCGTCACCCACGGTCATTCGTTCGGACAAAATGCGGTGTCTCTTGCGGGGGAAAGTGGACCGTTAAACTCCAGCTCTACGTATTAAGCAAGAGGCAGACTCGCTCTGTGATACAATAAATGAATTTTCTCCCCTTCATTATGGCGAATTTGTCTGCAATTTCATGAGGATTGCGGGATTTAATGGATTGTGATTGGTCGTTTCGGGGATAAGGATAATTTGCGAATGGTCATAATCGGGTGTTTATTTCTCTATTGTCATCGCATGCAGTGTCCGGTTGGCATTCGGGGATTTCATTCGCCAAAAATTATTGCAGGGTTGGGGGTATTATTAGGCGGCTTTCTACCTGAAGATGATGGGTTTTGGGGAGAACGAGGAAGTCCCTTGTGCAATGACGAGTCGTTCGGGGATCACTCGTGTGGATCATTGAGATAAACTGTTTCATTTCTGTTTGAATATTCAGCGAACAGTCATCGCTCTGGTTCAATGGTTTCAGATTATGTGAAAGTTTTCATCCGTCTCAAGGTTCTTAAAATTATACAAGGTAGCGGAGTAGTGAATTGCAATTCAATATTTTTTGTCAATTGCGCATTCACCTGTGAAGCAAGTAATTTTTTGAGAAAATTACAAAGAAGAGTCTTTCTATTAAGCAATTAGAAACTTACAAACAAGGTTTATTTTAAGAAATTTTAAGAAATATGAAGAAATTTTCTCCTGATCATAAAATTTTACACATTTTTTTCGACTTAAGCATGCAAATTGACTCGCATAATTTTTTTGGTAATTTATTATTGTTTAGACATTTGGAGAGAGGATAAATTAGCAACTGAATGTGTAATTACATTACGTAAACAATTTTCAGACTTCAAAAATTAATTGAATTTTTCTTAAATTTACAATTCACGCTCTTTGAAGAATCCATCAATGGACTTTATCATATGACTTTTGACATATAAATAATATGACTCATGGCATTTGGAAGTTGACAGTGTTTCGCGGTCTTTATGATCTAAAAAGAATTGTCTGTGTAGCTGCACCGACAGAAACGGTTTATTTGAATTCAATACATGTTTCTATTCAATGTTGAACTTCATTTTGATTTGCTTGTTACTACCCTCGGATAATTCTTTATTTGTAATGAATAAATTACAAATAATAATAATAAAATTATAATTATATGAAATGAATCATGAATTATTCAATTCATATTATTAAAACATTTTCATTGAAATGAATGAAACAATTTCAAATACAGAGATTTAGTGAATGCAAATACATCTTTCCTAGTTGAGTGCACGGAAGTTCCCGAGAAAAAGTGCATTTTAAATTTTTTTAAAAAGAAGGCCAAAACAGTGCTTTTGACTTTTTGTTCAATCCATGGTAATTTTGGGGAATGGGATTGTTTTTTTTAATTAAGTCATTAGAAATTTATAAACAATGTTCATGAGCTGTAGATTATGTAAATGCACTACTTAAATATGAATTAACTACTTTCACTGAAATTCAATGAGATCGTTTTTCCTTCATAAAAAGTAAATTTAATGACTTAATCTCTGAGTCCTAAAAAATTCAAGAGTCCTTTTGTTCCCATTTCCTCCCTTGTATATAATCATATGGAAAGGTTAATCGTTGCACTGTACCTTTCCGCAATTAAACTAATCCGGAAACAGGAAAAAATCCTTGAATTTTCCGAATGTTGCGGAAAATCCGAGAATTCTTTCGATTTTTTTAGAAAAGTCCCAAATTTTCTTAGAACTGATAATGTTCTTGAATTTGAAAAAAAACCCGCCGTATTTTTTCTAGTATAGAAAAACCTTCTTTGGATCTTTCCAGAGCTCACAAAACTCCTAGAATGGCTCAGAAGGTTTCAGAATTTTCTAGAAGATTCTACGTTATTTGCTGCAGTATGCAAGACCCTCGTAGTTCTCAAATTCTCAAGAGGATTCAGAATTATTTTGAAAAAACTCTGGGTTTTCTTTAACGTTCCAGAAAACCACCGAATTTTTTTGGAAAGTCTTGAATTTTCTAGAAAAATCTGGAATTTTCTATAATTTCTATAGATGTCGCAGTGGCATAAAGACTTTTTTTTCTTGTCTCATAAAAATATTTGATTCTGTATCTACTAACAATTCTAATGCCAATGAAACACTCGGAGCCCCCAAAAACGTCGAAATAAATTTTTTTTTTTCACCCGGGGCCAAAGTGTCAAATCTGGGATTTTTCTACGGAGAAAGTCGACTTTCGGCAAAATCGAATTTTTTCGCCGAGTGAACGTTGATTCCGTATCTACTGACCATTCTGATGCCAATGAAACCCTCGGGGGCCCCAGAAATGCAGAAATAAAAAAAGATAATAAGAAAAGAAAAAACAAGAAATAAGAAAAGATGTTCACACATTCCTGCGGAACAAAACTACTGTTTTAATTCTAAAATAACCGACCAAATGGGGTAAATCAATTAATAATCAAATTTCAATTTTAGTCGTATTTCTCAACTTTCTTTGGAAATACTCCGAATTGTCCAGAATTGTCTGGAACATACGCGAATTTTTTAGAGAAATCTATAATTTACAAGAATTTTGATGGATGTCGCTGCGGCATAAAGACATATAAGCCGTATTTGTATAAAAAAATGGTTGATGAGCTGTTGAAGAGATATTCACCCATTCCAACGAAGGCAACAACTGTTTTAAGTCTAAAGTAACCGACCAAATGGGGTAAATCAATTTATAATGAAATTTCAGGCACTGGATCGCTTAGTCATGGTCGAAGATGACAACGACGCCGCCCTAAGAAGTAAAAGAACGATCGGCATACTCCGTCAGCTCTTCCCTGGCATCTCCCAGGTCAGAAACCATTAAAAATCAAACAAAAGCACAAAAGAATCTGCAGCATCAGCACAATAGTACATGTAAATTAATAATATAGCATTCGAGACACGCGTGAACTCTCACGTGGCCGGCATTCCCTGCGTGAAAGTGAGCGTCATTCGCGGCGCTGCGGTCGAGACACTCATGCAGACAATGATTTTTTCACCTCGCAGTCTGAGGAAGCGAATTTCGAGTCGCGTAATCCGCAGTGGAATTCAATTAATCATTTTTCCCCCTGAATATCTTTGGGATTAACTCTCTCGCTCGCTTTACCATTTTTCTGAACGAATTGGAGGAATGAATTGCACAGCACAATTAATGTTTTCCACTGCGATCACGCGAACTGCAACCGATTCCTATCAACACGCCGGAAAAAGGCAGGAAGGGCGGAATATGTTATTTCCGGAATTTAATTTATTCTTCTCATCTCGAGAGTATAAAAGCGGAACCGTTGGATATGAATTTTCATGTTGAGGTTGAGAGGAAAATTATATGTAGAGACGTTGCGTCATTTAAAATGTTGAGAATGTACTAAGATTTTTCGGTTAATCGGGAGATACAGTTTTTTTAACGAAATTGCCTCATGAGAAGAGTGGAATCTGCGGTCAATCAATTTTTTTGGTCAGGAGAAAAATCATTAGTCATTGGTTCAAATTAATGGTAAATAGAATTTTATTTGCTTTTTTACGCTAGCCACACTGAGAGGAAAATTACTTAATATTTAGAATATATTTGCTTGAGAGAAGTCAATTATTTTCAACGGCTTAAATCTCAGAATGTTTGCGCTTCGCGGAACTCGAATAAATTCTCGGGTGTCGCTATTGTTCTGCGTTGTACTGTGAATATATTACATATCGAAACATTGGAAGTGCATAAAAAAATCATGAAAACAATAAGTACTTGAGCATTGACGATTGTTTTACGCGATTCGAGGGAGTTAAATTGCGAAAAAATCGTACTTGAGTACAAGAATAGATGTTAAAATTTTTACTTCGCGTTTTCTGTGTCGAATCCCGGAAATTTTTATCATGTTTAATTTCTACTGAAATTTCAAGAAATTTTGTAATTGAAAAATCAGATATTCCATTGATTTTAAGTTCGAATGATCCGAAAATCCATAAAATACTTGATTTTTCAGATCAATTGTTCTGTAAAAATTCAGGGAAAAATTGAAACTTCAATTGCGTTGTGAAATTTTCGTCTCGCACGCAATGAAAACTCATGATTTCTTTTATTTTGCCTAAAACTTGAAATTTCATAACCATTTTTCCCCTAAATCGAAAACTACTGCCATATTGTCCCTGAAATTTGGAAAAATTTCTAACAGTGTATTTTAAAGCATGAGATCGTTCTCAAGCCATGTGACTTGGAATGGCTGCGAGAATTAAGCGATTGAAGAAAAATTACTTGTGTCAAGTACATTGAGAAAAAAAAATTCTAATATGTAGACCATAATTACTTGACAGAAGTCAATTATTTTCAATGGCTTGAATCTCAGAATGTTTGCGCTTCACAGAACTCTAATAAATTCTCACTTATCACCGTCGCCCCGCGTTACATCGTAAATATATTACAAATAGAAAATTGGAATTTCATAAAAAAATCGTGAAACCACTCAATTCTTGACGATTAATAATTCTTTCACGCGATTTGAGTGAGTTCAGTTGCGACAAAATCAAACTTGAGTATAAAAATATGTTAAAACATGATACCGTTCTCAGGCCACGTGAGTTGAAATGCCTGCGAAAATTAAACGAATGGAGAAAAATGACTTGTCTCAAGTAAATACGTTCCAGATATTGAAAATTTGTATTCAGTGCAGTTACTTTATTTTTGATCTTCTTGATGAAGATAATTTCGACGAAATGTGTGTTTCCGAGGTAATTTGTTCTTATTGTTGATTCTCGTTGCGATAATTATTCGTTCGAGGAATCGTCAACCGAACATATCCTCTCCGCATGTGTAATTACCGTCTCTATTGAATTTACGAGCTGGAACTGCAGCTCCCAGTGATTTTCTTCCACACTAATGCGGCAAATAATTTAACTCTGTTAATTGTTATTTCCCAAGATTGCTTCATTTCGTACTGCTTCTCGCACCGATAAAATACATCGCCAGTGTAGAATGTCGCGCACGTGTACAATCCGGTTTTATGACGTAATTCCTAGAAATTATCGTCGAATTCAACGAAATCAATATTGACGTTTTATTCAAGGTGTAAAAAAATTGTGCAAGATAAATGTTCGACAGCCAAAAAATTGATGACGAAACAGCCCATCGGCTACTACATTCTTTCATAAAGTCATAAATCCTGTCGTAAAACAAAAATAGACGTGTAAATAATTAAAAAAATGTTTATCAACACAAAAACCGGGAAGAATCAATTATCTCGGGAATAGCTTAGCATAAATCTTTAAAAACACTCGAAGTGTTCAAGAGTCTTTCACTTGAAAAAACAATTGGAGAGTGTAAAATCAACATCATTTATTCTCATTGCATTTAGTCAAGTGCTTAGGCCATTTTTACAACTTCATCCCATCTCAGTACAAAAAAAAGTTAATTAATTGCTCAATTGTTCAGGGGAAATAGTGGACTTTCGAAAAATCCATGATGTCATTCTCTCATAAAATCGTAAATTTCATTGTGAAACTAAAGTAGACGTGAAATAAACACCAAAAAAATTGATAATAACTAAAATCTCCATTTAATAAATAAAAAATTGAACACAAAATCAAAGAGAACAATTATCCCGAGAATAATTTAGCATAAACCGTCGTAAACACTCGGAAATCTTCGAGAGTCTTTCACTTGAACTAACTTGCGCCATTTTTATCGTTCCGCCCAACTTCAATTACAGAAAATTAATTGTTTATGAAATTCCATAAGAAAATCATAAATCCTGTGGTAAAACTAAAATAAACGTGAAATGAAAAACAGAAAATTCCTTATCAACACAAAAGTCGAGGGCAATTGATAATTCCCAGAATAACTAATCATAAACATTTGAAAACATTTGAACATTCTCCAGCCTCTTTCTTGAAATACAAAAAATGCTAGTAAAATGTACCAAAAGTCTTGAAATACCATAAATTAGTTTAACGATTTTTTACAACAACCTCAATTGTCAAAAAAAAATTATCTACCCCCCAAAAACATACCAAACAGCCCAAGGATGACATTCCCCCCTGAACCAATAAAACCGGTCGTAAAACTAAAACAGCATGAACTAATTTACAAAAACTACTTATCAAAACAAAAACCACAAAGAATCAATTAGCGCCAGAGTAACTCAGCACAGTTATTCAGCGCCTCTGGAAATCCTCAAAGATCTCACCTCTTTCACTCGAAAAAAACAATGAGAGAATGCGCGACCGCAGAGGCCAACAAAAACCACTCCGGGATTCCGTGAAAAATTGAATTCCGTTTCAACTCGAGTGCCTCGAAAAAACAGCTGACAAATTTTATAGATGATTGAAAACAAAGTCAACATGATTGTGGGTGAGGTGATCAAAGTACTGGGGCCGACATTACTGCGTGGTGCACTCGGTGGAGGAGGTCGTCAGAACAGTGGTGGAGGAGGTGGCGAAAGCGGCAAAAGCAGTGACGACGGCTCAACGGTAACAGTTAAATCGCCATTCGACGACGATGACGATGATGATGAGCCAATATCACTGGTGACAAGCGACGGTACAGACACTTCGATGAGTAAGAGTGCCGCAATGGTATCAATATCACTGCCTACCTATCCGCCTGATGAGGACGATGAGACAACTGTCGCATCCACAACGGCTAAGGCTCGTGACGAGGACAATGAGACAGCGTCTGAAGGTCAAACACGCTTACAAAAACAAAAAATAATAATTTCAGGGCACAAACGCTTACAAGACTGCGATCTGTACCATGCCGCCATTCGTCATCTCCTCTACTTCGATTATCTCTGTCCACTACGTACTTTCTTCCTCATTCATACTGATTCTTACTATTCTGTGGGTCAGCGATGATCAGTTTTATTTTTACCAACATTTTTACTACCGTTTCCATTAAACATTTCCAAAGAACTAATTTTATTTTTTTATTGGGCATTGAATTCATTGAATGCACTGGCCTGGAGGAGAACACAGGGAACGAACAACAGCATTCCAGCATTTTTAGGAATCTATAACCAATTGTAAGGGATTTGCCGTTTTGAAATTCAACGCGTGTGAAATCCTGGAATTCTGATTGATTTTTTCGCTAGTTTCTAGTGATATATTGGCACTAATTTTCTGCGAAATGTCACTGATTTTTGGGGATCCTTTCCTATTTTTCAGAAATATTCTATGTTGAGAAAAAACAAATTTTCGTTCATAGATTTTGTATTTTTTCCAAAGAAGAGGATCATTTTTTTATGACCGGAACGTGATTCTGACACTAAGTTGATTCACAATTCATTCGATAGTTTTTTAGTCTCAAATCCAAAAATTTTAATGCAAAAGCCACTTGACTTGCTTCGAGAACACGCTTTCTTGTTGTGAACCACGCTGTTAATAATTTTTGTCTGTAATTTCCGGTACACTTTTTGAATTTAATTGAATTTAATTACCACGGGAAATTTCAAAGAAGTTCGTCGTTGAAAATTCAGAATTTCGCAAAAAAATCAAGGAGAACTATAAATTTCAGTTCCATTTTTTCCTGAAAATAAATAGAAAACCAGAAAATTCCGGTGAATATAGTGACACTGAATGTGATTTAGGGAGAAAAAATCATGAAATTACAGATTTCACTGAAAATTCAATGTAATTTGACACTGAATATGCATATTAGATTGTAATTTCAAATTAATTAAGGAATTCCCGTCTTTATGCTGCTTAAAATGCTGGAATTTAACTGAATTTTCAGTGAAACCTGAAATTTCATGATTTTGTCTCGTAAATCGCATTCAGTAATACTCAGCTGAAAATTAGTAGTCAATTATCCATGAAATTTCATTTTTGACACGTACTAAATTTCTAGAGAAGAGTTTTTTCTCAGTGATGCTAAATTTCAGTGATAAAAACCACTGATTATCATTCTTATTCTCATCAGTGCAACGTCAGTCCAACATTCCCAGTAATTAGTGGTAGATTCCTAAAAATCGGCGACATGTTCCTGAATTTTTTTCTCTGTGAATGCACATTACGTACATTGGAAGAGTTTTTGGAAACTTTAATTTTACGTTATTCGTGTCGTTCAAGGTCCCGAGAACGGATTCACGACACTTTACCCTATTTAATTAACTCTTCTTGCGATGAGGGGCGAGAATGCCGCGTGGAGCGGTGGTGAATTGCTCTTGTAGTTTTTTAATCGTTTAACATTTCAGTCATGAAGTGGTGAAGAGTGCGGGGAGATGATCATTTCGAAATGTGAAGGGGAATCTTAATTCAGGACGAGTTGATTTCACTTGAGGGTCAGTTTTTAGAAGAAAGAGATCCTCAGCTGTACAATAATATTGCATATGGCGGTTGAATCTGAATATTTACATTGAATTTCTTTAAAAAATGAGAATATCTCCGAATTTATCAAAAATTTGTTCTCAAGTTCGATCAATTTGACCTGTTTTAACATTTTTATACTGAAATCAATCTCTCTGTTCTCTAAAATCTCTGGAATTTACTAGTAAAGTGCAAACAAAATTTGAAATTGAAAAAAGAGCTTTGAAATGGGATAAATTTTATCAGATTATGCATTTTACTTCACTCTTTTATGAATTCAAGACTAATCTATACATTTTCCCTAAAATACACTGTTAAAAAATTTGCCTGAATTTTCCGGAAAAGGACTTTGAATTCGATTTAAAGGGGAAAAGTCAATGGAATTTCAAGTTTCTTTAAAAATTTAAGTAGAGTCCCATTTATTTAGCGGTAGAAAGCCGAGAATTTTATAATTTATATGAATTTTCAACTGAAAATGAATATTCACTGCCAAATTTCCCTAAATCTTCAAGGAATTCCTTTACAATTCTTGGAATTCCAGAAATTTTCGAAGCAATTCTCTGACAATTCGGAGACATCTGGAATTTGAGAAGAGATTTCCCTGAATTTTTCGGATTGTTCATTAATTTTCTCGAAATAATTCAACTAAAATTTACAGTTCCCACGGATTTTTCCATGAAACTATGAATTTTCATTCACAAAATTCCTTGAAATTTCCGGAAATTTCAGTAAAAAATTTTAAACAGTGTATCTTCAAGATGAATAAGCTCATAAAAATCCATCAAGAAACTTCTCCGAAACCTCTTCTTCTTGTTCACTAATTCGTCAGCCGAGATATCTCAAAAAAATATTTAGATAAATTTTGAAATAACTTTTTATCACTTCACAACTTCATCCACAGAAAATCAATTAATTGATTAATGAATTAATCAATCAATCACGAAGTGTGCCTAATGTTATTACTCGATTTTAATCCCTACTGCACCGTTTTTAATCCACTCGGAGGTTTCCAGGCCTCTGGCAAAACCCGTTTTTACAATTTTAACAACAACTTCTCTTAAATGATTTCAGGACGTAAATCCCGAAGCCGAGAATCAAGTCGCCCAAGACGGGGATCAAGCGGGTTCGGAGAACAACGAAGTGCGAGTGCAGTTCGACGATCAAGGAGCATCGGCGAACGAAGCGGTGCAGTCGGAATTAGCTCCCCTGGAGGAGATAGAGGTGAGCGACGACGAGAACAGGAACAAGAGATTCCTGAACTTCGGCTTCGGGGGAAATAATGGAGGAACTGGGGGCAGTGCTGGGGGATCAGGAAACTTTTTGTTCGATATAATAAGGGTAAGTGATCCCAAACTCTCCAATCACAAAACATGCTAAAACTGACGTTGATATTCTCACTAAAGGGAAATAACGACGCCGAGAATCCAATTTTTTTCACGATTTCCGTCTCTAAATTTATCCCCAGGATTTAATGTCGTCAGGTGTTCACCTGTCTAATCGAATTACTTCCAGCGAAATAGACATTGTTTTTTCATCATTAATACCAGGTGAGGTAAACGTGCCCTGAGGACATAAAACAGAAAGGAAATGACCGAGTCGAGGATCTAAAAGAAAAATGAAAGGAATCAAATCACCAATTATTCACCACTAAAATTCTTAAATTCACAGGCAAATAATCGCGAAATCCTAAAATAATCGACTAATATTTTCTCCCGATCAGCAAAATCACTCAGGATAGGCCAACGAATGAGCCGAAAGCCCAGTTCTCCCCCAAATTTCAGTAAAAAACATTAAAATGAGGGGTAAAAAATGTAATGACGAAATTACACGTGTCTGTGTCTACTTAGCAAGCAGCCGACGGGGCGGCGAGAGCGGCTGGGACGGTATATCGCGTGGTGGCAGGCACTCAAAGCCTCGGTCTAGGTCTAAGTGCTTCACGTGACCTAGGCCCGTCCCCTCCGCCTCAAACCCAAGCCGCCCCCGCCGCGCAGGCACCTGCTCCTGCTAATGCTCCTCCGGCAGCGCCAGCCGCCCCCGCCCCAGCCCCTGCGCCAGCAGCTGTCCAACCACCGGTACGACATTCCTTCCGACATCAAGAAAAATAAACAAAAAACATACGAAAACTAAAGGAAATGAGAATTATCACTACTTACTCTCTCTGTCATTGCTTCCACTGAGAGAAAAAATTAGTTCTGCCGAAAAATTAGGTTCCCCTCAAGAGATCTTCAATTTATTTGTGGGCAAAAAATAAAATTTCCAGCGAAACACGATAATTTTCGTAGAACACTGTTAGAAATTTCTGTAATTGTCAGTAACGATTGCAATTGAATTCTCAATGTTGGGGAGTTTAATTCAATTTAAGATTACATCATTCATGAAAGTTCTCATTCATGATGTATATGTGAGCTATCTTTGATATTTTAAGGACAGCTTGATTTTTAAACCTCATTATGATAATTGAATATTATATTCAATTGAATTTTCAATAAATCGGGAATTACAGAAAATAATACCCTGAATTTTTATTCATTTTATTTTTTCAATTATTTTCGTTATCGTATGAGCCGGGAAATTAGAATTTCATTTTAGTAATAAAATGGAGATGAATTCCATGTAAATTTAGTGTTGTTGAAAATTTCAAATTTTTTCATTTCAAATATCAAGAGTAATTTTTTAACAGTGTTGCAATTGTTCTCGTGAGACATTAATATGGCTTCCTAAATAAATACGATCGTTCCAATAAACACTGATAATTTTGAGGGGACAATTTTTTGGGAAAAAAATATTCTGTCCTTGTCAATGAATTTTTTCAATGGTTTAAACCTATGGAGTTCTCTGAAATAAAAGGATTGTCGTACAACAGATTATATTTTTTCCTGCCAACAGTTCGAATTCGTCTGGGGATATCTCTGACGATCAAATTTAATTTTTGTAAAAGATATTAAATTTCATCCCCTCAAGTAAATCTGTTCCACTTCATCAAATATTCTCACGCGGAACATATAGTTTTTCGACAGAGCTCATTTTTTCTCTCAGTGTGCTTTTGATTTTAAACCGTATTTTTATGACACATTAATTGAGGTAAACTACTGGATTTTATTTTGTCGTCATTGGTGGCGCTTTCATGGGGCATTAATTTCTCACTTCCATCATTATTAATCATTCATCACCATTTGCTGATTTTAATCGCTGAGAGAGGAAAATTTTTGCTGATTCCTAAAGCTTTGAATAAAGTTCAGGGGAGAATGGAACAAAATGATCAATTCTCGAGCTCTTTTTTTCACGAATTAAAATGAAAGAAAGAGATTGACAATGTCAAGAGGTCCATTTTGTCCCACTTCTCCCTCTTCTTTCATTTTTCACATCTTTTACCATGTGGATGGGCTCAATTAATTTGGGAAGCTCGAAGAAGCATCAATTTTTCATCTGCCACTTGTCTGACCACCGCTTACCGTATCTACTCACGCGACTCACATGTTCTTGACTAGCCCTCCGACTTTGCTCTGATTTAACAGACTCGTGTGACGAAATAATCGATTTTATTCCCACAATTTCATCTTTGTTCTGGCAAGACGCACCCGCAGAAGTTTCATTCCAATTCAATAACATCAAATCAATAAAAAGTGGTAAAACAGTACAAGTCAATTTTGACTATCGGCCAATTTTCAATGAATATCTCAGAATCTAAGGGAGATAGCAAAATTATTATTACAACCTTTTTTGTAGACCTGATTGAGAGCTACAATAAATGTAATTACGAAAATTTGGCTATCTCCCTCAGATTCGGAAATATTCCTCAAAAACTCAACTGGGAGATGAGTCGACTTAAACCGTTTTACCACTTCGCTACTGAAATAACCTCTTGAAATAAATTCAGTGATGAAGTGATTCAAGAACTAATCCTCAACTGAATTGACGCATCCGGTTCCACCGCTTCCTCACTAATCCAAATTTAATTAATAAAACGTTCTGATAATAGGCTCGAATTATCTGGGTGCATTGACTATTCGCTTGCTATTTATTTTCTCTAATCAAAAGAACAATCTCGCTCCTGCAATCGCGTCCCATCCATTGCGCCGTCCAACCGAAGATCCTGACGACCGTCGATCACCCAATCAGTATCCCGATAATCCAATGTCACCATCGTTTGGCATATGACAACCAGGACGAACTCACCTCGATGATAAATATGACAAAATTGAGATTATCCAAAAGAACATACGTTGAATCCCTGGCACCGTATTTTCAGTAGTTAATTTATCATTGCGTCTGTATGGAGAAAATTTTACATCGAGCTTCAACAACAAGTTGTCAAGGTTTGACAGCTGGACGTTAACAAATTAAATTGACAGCTCGTTATATTCCACCAATTGTTAGGAGTTGACAGCCAGTTGTCAAATTTGAGAGCTTTGTTCATCAAAATTGAAGAGGAAATGGACAATTTGTCAGACTTCAACGATTATTGACGGAATTAATTGATGACGTGTTGTCAACAGAATGAATTGATAATGGACTTTGAAGTTTTCAATAATTATTGAAAGAGTGAATTGACAACCCGTTGTCAACTTAATAATTGTTGACAAAATCACTTGACAACCAGTCGTCAAACTTTGAAAATCGTTGAAGGAAATAAATAACATGCTCTCAAATTCCGAGAATTGTCAACAGTGAATTGACAATCGGTTGTCAAACATCAATGATTATTGACAGCATTAATTGACAAACACACGGAGAGAAATGTTCAGTAAAAATTACCGAACTCTCACTTCACTCACCGATTACGGAATCGACTCAGAAAATTTAAGTGACGGTATCGTAATTTTTCACAAGAGATTCAGATAAAAATTACGGAACGCTCCGGCAAAATTCCGTGACAGTTCCGTAAAATTTCCTACAACCACATTTCGCTCCGGAATTACGGAAAAAATACGTAATTTTTATTGAATATTTCTCTCCGTGCAGCTGTTAAATTGTGATAATTGCCAAAGAAGTGAATTCACGTCCGACTTTCCAGTCTTCAATAATTACCGAAAGAGTGAGTTGACAGCGCATTGTCAACTTGAAAAATTGTTGACAGAATTAATTAACAACAGTTGTCAAATTTTAATGACTGTCAAAAGAGTGAATTGAGAACCAGCAATCAAACTTCAATAATGATTGAAAATCTCGATTGACGAGTTGCCTAATATTGACAGCTGTCAAGATTGACAGCGGAATGTCAGTGCGCTTTTTCATCAACAAGTTGTTGAAGATCGAGGAAAATTTCTTCCATACATCCATCAACTCCCGTTTATCCGTTATCGTAGTGAAGCACAAAAGTTTGTTGTGACTATTTATTGACATCCATCCGTATGAAATAATGATTTGTATCAGCACGCAAGTTGTCATTAGGTAGCAAGAGCACGGTGAAAATGGATCCTGCGAGTATTGTGTTGCGGCAGGATCGAGGGGGACTGGATGCAACGGGATTGCCGAAGAGATGGAACTACTCTCTGTTCCTCTATTTGTCAAATTTTTTTTTTACTTTATTTCTCTTCCTCGTCAATCCCCGGTAGTCTTGCCCTGACACACACTATCTCTTGGCGGTTTGGCAATCAGTGTTTTTGGGAGTTTAGCGAGGTCAGTCTGTGAAATTTGGGGGAATTTATTTTTCAGCTTGTGGCCGGCAGTGGATCAGCAACGCAATCATCACAATCTGGCACTGCTGCGGATCCAAATGCTGGGAGACAAGACGCTATTCAGGAGGCAGTACCTGGACCTGTTACTAGGCTCTTTGTCATTGCTAATCGGGGTCTTTCGAATTTAATTCAGGATCTCATTCTTGTAAGTAGAATTTTTATTTATTCATTTCAAAAATTCAGTTGATCAATTCAATTTTTCTCGTTGATTGTCTCCAACGAAAAGTTTATTTCGTAATATTTTTGAACATTCTCCGAGAAAATCATCAATTTTCAACATCATTTTTCGATTCAAAATGTTTTCCATCCATTCACTACAAAATTTGATGGTATTTTGCATAGTACTGCCTATTATTCTGCATCTTTCAAAAGAACAAGGTAATTTTTAGTTTTTTCCTAATTATCTTTAATAAAGAATTAAAAAATTTTGTTAACATTCGTCAACAAATTTCTAAAATTGCTAATTTTTTACATAATTTTCCGATTTGATTAATGTCGTGTTATCCTATTTATTAAGTCTTCTGACAGTTTCTTTTTATTTTTGGAAGTATTGGCAGAGCAATCTGAATGAAATTGTTCCATTCACCCGAAAAAATCTGCAGATATTTCATGATCTTCCTCAAAGAACAACACAAAGAGGTGATGATTTCATAGTCACTTTGAGATAAAGAAAAATAAAGTAATTGAACAAAGCAAGATTATTAATTGCCCAATTGATTGTACACACTGCAGATACATTCTCTCAAAACTAATTTCACACTCGTCGATTCGCAAACAAAGCCGTGGGATAATAGTGCCCCGTCAGACAGTACCGTAACAAATCTCGTCAGTTTAGTTGACTTGAGCCACCGATCGCTCCAGAATGAATGCGATCCGAACAAAAAACGAAAACTTAATTTTTACATCGATAAATGATGGAAAATTTCCGGTTACCCCCGGGGCGTCCTTTAATTACTGGTTGGAGCATTTGAAATGCCGAGAAACCGGCAAAAAATAATCAATTCAGATGTCAGTCTTCATTGCAGAAATGAAACCGCGAAAGCATGCGAGAAAATTTTTTAAAAAATTCCCAGTGCTTGTGGCAAATGAATTCGTAATTCTCCGATTATCGAATACCTGGAATGTGTCACCGGGTTGGCAGCATATCCAAAGTCCGTTCCAGATATAAACATGAATATTGTGCAATAGTTTTTAAAGAGGAGAGGGAGGGAGAGCGGGTCGAATCGATGGAAAGCAAAAATGTAGCGAGGCAGGAGCTGTCCAAACACTTTCTCTATGAAATAGCCAGTCTGTCCGAGAACACTTTTAAATGCTGGAGTATGACTTACGCAAGCGAAACGGTTCTACCACTTGAGTGTTGCACATGCTGTACATGAAGTGGTTAATGTTCAACCCTGATTAAGGAACAAAGATTATTGTGTCGCGGAAAATGAAAAAATTGAATTTAAGTGGAGTTGAGAAACTAATGCGTTTTATTTCATTCGTTGTCACAATATGGATCATTCTGATCGAAATATTCCACCCAATTTTTTTTTTTAATGTAGTATGAACAATTTTTGTTTTAATTTTTCCCGTCAAATCTAGAACATTTTTATTAAGTGACACTTTCATCAGAATTTTAGGAACTCTCGTTTTTTGGAAATGAAATGCTTCATTTTGATTCTATTGATTGTTCAATGATTCGATCAGAAAATGCGTGAGAGCTGTCAATTTCGGTTCAATTAATTCGTAAAAATCCAGGAAATTTTGATTCTCAATTTTCGTCATCAATTAAAAATTCAAGAAAGTTGTAAAATCTACCTAAAGGTTGGAATTCCGTAATCGTTTTCTCCCTAAATCGAATTCAATCTCACAAATGATTTTTATTTCATCTGATGTAACAATATGCAACATTCCGACCGAAATATTTCTCCCAACAATAATTTTTATATATTGTGAGCAATTTTTTTCTGAATTTTCTGCATCGGAACCCGAAAATTTTGTATTGAGTTGCCAGTTCCCCTAAAAGAAAATTCAGAAAATCTCATTATTGAAAAATTAATTCTCTTTTAACTCCTTTAATTTTCAACAATTCGCTCATAAAATGCATGAATGGTGAATTCCCCCAAAAGTTGAAATTTATAATCACGTGTCCCCCACATGAAATTCAATCGCACTTTTCTAAAAATTCCTACCAGCTTGTCCGTGAAATTTCAATTTTTTCCGCCACCGCAAAAACAGTAATGAACATTTTATAACAATCAACCTTGAGCTGTCGTAATTCACCCCGCGAACGTTTCAATTAAACTACTGCCCAAACCCGGTGAAAAACACTTATGATATTTTGCATTGAGATAGCCTAAATAAGATCGCCGAGGGCGAGCAAGCGTATAAGAATCGTTGGAAAGCGTTCACGCTCCGACGACACGGTATTTCTCAGTCGCGTAATCCGAGTAACGATTTTTAGCAAACAATACATAAGTTAATGAATTAAATTGCAGAGATCTGTCCACTTAGCGATGCTCTACAAATTTATTAAATTGGGATTCAAGGGATTATCATCAATCATTACCAGCGGATTATCGAAGTATTCGTTGCTGGGGCAATAGAAATTCAAATGCTCGACTTTACAACATGAATTAAACATTGCCACAGTCAGTATACACGTATTTTGTTATTTTTACAGCGTCTCGCAGCAACCAGTGAGCGTATCGTAAACTTCAAGGCACGACTCATCACTTCAATCATCTAAAACGGCAGGGAGACACTGATGCGCCGAGGGAGATGATTGATTGGATCGTGGGTACGACGAATTTGACGACGAAAAAAGTCGTCCCTTGTACCCGGGATCCCAGCAAAGAGACGTTGAAATCGATGAATCAATCCGCCAGGCATTTCAACGCTTTCCTCTTCTTTTTTACTCTACTATCACTCGTTTCCACTTCACACTCGATTCCCCTTCATCACTTTATACTTTTGTAATTACTTCATCAACTTTTTCTTCATTTTTCCACTCTTCTCTCCCCTCTCCTCTCTCTGTTTCTATTTCTGTTCTACATCTTCTATTCTATTTCTTCAATTTCTTCCATGAAAATTCTCCCTCTCTCACTCGATTTCCTCAACAAACCAACCGAGCGTGAATTAAACTCGGCCACGTCGATCCTGCAGAGATGCATGACAACAAGCCGCTATTTTAACGGAAAATGTTGTATTTTATTTTTATTATTCGATTGTCACTGTTGTTGGAGGAAAGAAAAAACAGATGAGAACTTGTAAATATTATTTCCCAAGGGTCTTTTTGGGTTACTGCGTCCACTGCCTCTATTATGTACTTATTACAAAAATTGTTTGACTCCTTTTTTGAAGGAATTTTATTTTGTGATTAAATCTATATTGCTTTTTATTTTTTTTTCGATCGGTATTTTTTTTTATTGTATGGAAATTATGGAAGAAGCGTCCCCCGTGAATGTGCGAGCAATCTGTGTATGTAAATCCCCCATTATTTTGTAGTGTAAATAAACATGTTGAGTAAGAAGTTGATTCTCAGCAGTATTTTTTTAATTTGTTGTTCATTCATCTCATTTGTTTTCAGTTATTTTTATTCATTCATTATTTAATTAATTATAAAACTATCAAACCGTAAGGTGACAAGAAAAATATGGTTCTTTTTTATATCGGTTTATCCAACATAAACTGGATCACCGACTCTCACAATTCCATTCGGACCTTTCAGACCTAAATGAATACCAAATCCTGGACTTGTGCCCACTACAGACTTCACAGCGGGATCTCCAGGTTGTCTGTACCTAAATGAAAGAAGAGAACGATGAAAAAGTGGAATAAAAGTATCGGAAAATCCATAAAAGTTATAAAAATGAAAATAAATCATGCGTAAACAATATATATTTATTAAAATGCATGGGAGCTGTTATTAACTTCGATTATTCCATAAAAACAAACCTACAAAAATCACGAAAATGCAGGACATTTGGGTTGAGTGTTAATATTCAATGGAAAATTCAAGAAAATTGTGAATTGAACCTGAATGTTGAGATTTCATTGTCATTTGCTCCCTAAATCGAATTCAACCTCACAAACGATTTCTATTTCATTCGTCGTAGCAATATAAACCGTTCTAATTGAAATATTTCACCCAATAATTTTCCTTTAATAGTATGAGCATTTCAGTAGCGAAGCGGTCAAGCGGTTTCAGTTGATTTTGATTTCTGGCCGGTTTTAAATAAATATCTCGTCACGAAAATTTCGTTATCCCCCTTAGATTCGGAGATATTCCTCGAAACGTCAGCTAAGGGTTAAACCGTTCTACCGTTTCGCTATTGAATTTTTGTCTAAATTTTTTGCATCAAGTCCCTGAAATTCTCATCAAGTGACATTTCCACCGAAATTTCGTGGAATCGCGTTCCTAAGAAATCAAGCATTCTATTAATTTTTTAATAATTTGATCAGTAAATTAATGAGAGCTCTAAATTTCAGTTCAATTATTCTCTGAAATATTCTTAATATTCATATTCAATTGAAAATTCAGACAGTTCTGCATTCTATTAACATTTTCGATTCAGTAGCTGTATATTTCTGGGATTTCTGTGGCCTAATTCAATTGTATCATCAATTATTCAATACAAAATTGTTTCCATCATTCAGAGACAGCAAAAAAATCCGCAAAATAATTTAATTCAATTTAAGTTAATTAAATTTAATAATTTTGTTCTCTAGATGAAGTTTAGTGATATTCTTACTTCTTTAGAGTTTCCAACGGTTCCACTTTCGGATGTTTCTCACCAGTCGCCGGACTGATAGTAGTCATGACACACCGAATGCACGGTCTGACGTTTCTAAACGTCACTGATCCGATTTTTACCCAGTCCCAGGTGTCTTCTTCGTAAGCTGGGGCTCCCTTAACAGTGAAATTGAGTCTGAACCGCAGAGGATCCACCGGCTCCTCCAATCTAGTGTTCAAATCGTCGACGGATGCTTGATTCATCAAGGCAAAGCTCGTCTCATCAGTGAAAACTCCCTGAGAAAACGCAATTCTTTAGAAATTCGCGGAAATTTCGCGAATTAAATTTCTTTTTTAGAAATTTTTTATTTGTTTTTCGTTGGAATTGAGATTAATTACGAGATCGGATGTTTCGAACAGGTGGAAGCTCTTGTTGACTCTGCTGATGGTGCGGGAGGAAGTGTCGAGTGGGTAGTAGACAAGCCTGAGACCCGAGTCTTTCTCCAAAATGTATCTTGATAACCATCTTGCTACTTCCTCGCCACAATCGTTTGAGGGGACTGTATCACCCCAAATCACTACTTTCAGCTTTTTTTCTACTTTTGACAGGTCCACGCTAATTGTTGTCATTCCTGGGGCACTTAGGGATAGAATGGAGCCGGAAATACTCGGTATTACCTTGAAATTAAAGTCGGATAAACATAATTTAAATTTTGAAAATAAAAATCTCAAATGAATTCTGAGTTTGGGCTCAATTGACAGTTTAGTATTATTTATAATAATTAATTCACCACTAACACTAACAAAAGTAACACAGTTTTATCAGAAAATGATTTTTTCGAGTTTAGAGAGAAGATTAAAATGTAGAAAAAGTCTTGAAAAATCGGAAAAAAATTAATAAAAACTTTGTGCCTAGTGAGGAAAATATCGTCAGTGTCAGACTTTTCTGATAAATAATTTATGTTTTTGGGTACTCCGAATGTACAAAACACCCTCCTCAAACGAGCAACTATTGTTTAAGAAACGTATAGAAAATCTAATGAATTAATTGTTTACTTTTGCTAAAGTGAGAATTCATGTAAGAAATTATCAATGATGAATAATTTTTTTTCGCACCCTTAATTCATTTTTCCTCACTGCACTCTCGACTCACGTGGCGCTTGGATATACTACTGCAAACTCTAGATAGAGGGAATGAATGAACGTCACTTCAACGCTTTGGATATATCTGAATTCACAACAAATTGCTCTATCGGAAAGACAAATCTGTTCAGTATCATTTATTTTTATATAAAATTCTAGCGAAAACTTCAATATCTCTAATAAAAATTCAAAAATTGAGTAGAAATAATAAAAGTATTGTCACGTGTGAACAAAATATTGCAAATTTCCGGTACAATTCATGGAAATCTATGTCACGTGACAATTCCACTGCAATTTCAATTAATTTTGCCATTAAAAATTCTCGATTATACGTAAAAAACCATTTCCATTTCAAAATTTCACTTGACACAAGTGATAAAATAGTATATTTCAGGGCGAATGTCATGGGGTTTTCTACTCGCGTGGAGTTGGCGTCCACTGAGAAAAAAAATTATTTTTGCCAAATATTTATTTACTTGAGAGAAGCATTTGTTTTACAAAATCGTATTTTCCTATTGACGAATGCTGAGGTGAGCCTGAATAGGCTTCTATTATGATGGTCATGTTGCTCTAGAGGATGGCTATGTTTCATTTGACCTTGGATGAACTCCTCGAATGTTTATTCATTTTTCCTAAATTTCTTATTCTCTAGAGGGAAGAATTTCGATGAATTTTTTAATGTTCATAATTATTGAGGGAGTGCACTCAAAGTGATAACTAACATGCTCATCTTCTGAAGCAATATAATTGGCATAATTGACACCTAATGAAGATTGCCTGGGAATGACCCGACTGGAGAAATACGGCATCGAAAAAATAAATACTTCTCTCAAGTAAATGGATGTTTGGCAAAAATAATTTTTTTTCTCAGTGTCCGAGCCGAAGACGAGGATTGACAATCACGCGAGTAAAAAAACCCCATGGCACTGGCCCTGAACTATACTATTTCATCACTTGTGACGATCATTTGTTCAATTCATTTGATCAATTCCCGGACGAGGAAAAGTGAAGATCAGTACGAAAAAAAAACTTTCGCCTTCCCTGGAGGCGCGTAGCGCTCGCCGAAGGCGAGTGTTCCCCTCCCAAGTGTCAAAGACAGCTTTTCCCACGACTGTCGAACCCTACGTTTCATGACAATGTGTGAAAACTGTGATTTTGCGCCCGCGCAGCGTGCGTAAAGCCCTACTTTACGCCCAAGTCTCGAAAAATTACCTTAACCATTTTCGGGCACTTTCTAGCTGTAAAAAACCTATCCCCATCGTCAACAACGAGTAAACTTCTGTCCCTGAGCCACCCGGATTTGCATCCGAGAATAGTGCACTCAGTTTCATCCAATCGAACAGGTCCCAGTGATTTAACCGGAAAAACAAAAATCTCGGCGATCTCTCCAACTTTCCTCCAGTGTGTGGGAGGCCGGGCCCTCCTCTTGCTCCACAGCCATCGTAAACTGATGAATAGCGTCCCAACACCAACTAGGACAGCTGGAGCGAGATAAAGCCTGGCTCTATCTGAAATATATTCATGTTCACGAACAAAAAGAATTCATCATTTCTCTTCAAGTGACCGAAGCATTATGAAAAATTCGTGAATGAGGATTTCCTCATCGGCTCATGTAACTCTACGATAATGTGTTCCTTATCTCCGCTTTTTACATTCATTTATAGAGGAAGTGACTTGTGAAATAAGACAGAACGAGTTACATGGGATGGAATAAAACTGCATGGAACATTCAAACCAGTTCGGATAGCTTCTCTATATAACAAGATGATAAAAGATAAAATGAACGTTTTTATTTGAGGATGTTATACCCTAACGATTGACTCAACCTGCTGCATCCACTGAATACAAATGATACCAACAATTGAGGCAATTTGCATCGAACGTCAGTGGCGCCAGTTTCAGATGGCAGTTGTGATTTAATCAACATAATAAAAAGGTAAAAAACGGGGAATACTTTCATATGACCCCTCCAGTGAACCGAGAACGAATGAAATTTTTATGACAGCTTTGTTTTTACGCAATCTCCAGCACTGAGTAATTCGTATTGATATACTAATCACAAAAATCCAGATTGAATGAAGCAACACACGTACCCATTAAATTGTCGGTGAATTGCGCGGACCAAACGGCGAAATCGTTTATTACGAATCGAAACCGCTAATTATAGATTTTGTAACGGATTTCTGTAGTTAATAAATGGACACTGAGTGATTTTACACGTCGAGACGAGCTTGGGTTATCGGTTATAAATAGTTTGTTATCACTTATTGCATGCAGAGGATGGGAAGATACTTTAGGATTGAATTCGTGGATTAATACGGCTGCGATGCCTCATGCCATTGTTGGTGTCCTTGAGTGATACGAAACTAGGGGAATTGCATGAGATATTACTGATAGTACCATCTCACGTAGTTGTGAAGAGAATAGAGATGTTTTTAGAGCTGTAGCTGTTAAAGCAGAAAATTTGCGCATTTTCAAAAACCAAAAAATGGATTTTTTCTCAGAAGAAATTTTTTGGGAAAGAATAAAATAATTGGGAGAGGTAGATTTCAATTTTGTGTTTTAAAGAATAACATTAACGTGAAATAGAGATCCAGATTGAGTTTAAAAAAAAATTCAAAACCCGAACAAATTTTTTTTTTAATTCAAAACTTGAACAAATTTTTTTTTTAATTCAAAACCTGAACAAATTTTTTTTTAGGGAACATTTTTTTTTAAAAGAATGAGGATTCCTATACTTAATGAATGAACACTGAGAGATTTTAAACGTCGAGATGAGCTTGGGTTGCATCAGATATTACTGACAGTACCATCTCACGTAGTTGTAAAGAGAATTGAGATGTTTTTAGAGCTGTAGCTGTTAAAGCAGAAAATTTTCGCAATTTCAAAACCCGAAAAATTATTTTTTCTCAGAAGAAATTTTTTTTAGACGAATAAAATAATCGGGAGCGTTAGACTTCGATTTTGCGATTTAAATGACAACATCAACTGAGAATAAGATACAGATTGTCTTCAAAAAAGTTATAAAACCTGAAAATTTGATTTTTTTTCAAAATACATTTTTTTAAAGATGAATGAAATCATTGGAACAGGTGGATTTCGATTTTGTAATTCAAATGAAAACACGAAGATAAGAAGAAGATCTAGATTCTCTTAAAAATAACTCATATATTTTTCGCTTCTACCGACTGACGGTATACATTAGGCCTTACAAAAATATGTTACGAAAATACAAATACAAATTCATGAAAAATTTCGCGCTTGTAAAATTGTAGAAAATTTGGCTTTCGTATTCACAATTTAAGTATCAGATCCATTATCATCGGCTACTGAAAACGGGGGACCAATGCAGTCGCACGAGTCCCATCTCCTCAGCTATGTGGGCGATTTCAGGGGTTTTTTCGGCTCCTCTTCGCAGACACTGACGTAGACGGGATCTCCGAGTCTCACGACCCCGTTGGGCCCCTTGAGGCCCAAGTGGATTCCCATTACTGGATTGTCTTTAGTGAATTGCCTCAGGACGGGGTCCTGTATTTGTCGGTATCTGGAATTCAACGTCAATCACAAATTTTGAATAACTGCCCATTTATCTTCCGAATGATTGAATTCAGAATAATTTATCATCATTGAATTTTAAAACATGAAATTCAATTGACTTTTGAATAGATCGAGATTGCACGATCGTAAAAATCATTTCGTAGAAAAATCCAGCGAATTTTATTGCAGATTCTATTGAATTTCCATTGAACTTCTACGCACGGAGAGAAATTTTCTAGCAGAATTCTAGTGCGAGTACTGGAAAAAATTACAATCCACCGGCTGTGAAAAATTCTAGTGATGTTAAGGTAAAATTTCTCTTTTCCCGTGCTAGCACTAGAGTTTTTCTAAAAATTTCTCTCCGTCTGGGAAATTCGATTCATTTTTCATCGACTCTATTGAACAATTCCGTTCACTAGTATTTATAATATTTATTTATAGTATTTATTACTCATTCAAGACCGAAACTCGGGATTAAAAAATTCCTGAAAATTATAACGTTTTTCTGCGAACATACTTTCTCAAAGTCTTCAAAGGCTCAGTATTCGGATCTTTGGTCCCAGTATCAGGATCAATAGTCGTGAAGATGCATCTGGTGCAAGGCTTAACATTTCTAAAAATCACAGAGCCAATTTTCACCCAGTCCCAGGTGTCCTCTTCAAGAGGCTCAGCCCCCTTGACCACAAAATTAGGCCGAAACTGCTGAGGCGTCACCGAGTCCTCAATTCTCGTATTTAAATCCGCTATCGAAGCCTCGTTCATCATCGTATAGCTCGTAGCGTCCGGATATGCCCCCTAAACAGTGAAAATGCTGACTCGGTAACAATTTCTCCGTGAAAAATCAACGAGACACTCACAGAGTCCGCATTTTCCAGCAACGGGAATCCTTGATTGCACATCCTAACGTCCCGATACGGTCCATCAAGTGGGTAATAGACGAGTCTGAGGCCAGTGTCCTCCTGAAGAAGAAATCGGGACAGCCATCGGGCTATCTCCTCACCGCAATCACACGCCGGTACCGGTTGACCCCAGACAGCTGCTCGGAAGCTTTTTCCTACGTTCGACAGATCGACACTAATTGTCATCATTCCTGGGGCTCGTAATGTTAGTACGGAACCGGCTACACTTGGTGTTATCTAGGAGGAGAATTGCTTGTTTATAGAGAGATTGATCAATTTTGAATAAACGAATGTTTAATAATTATTTTTTATCACTTGAATATAAAACACACGGAGAGAAATGTTCAGTAAAAATTACGGAACTCGCAATTCGCTCACCGATTACGAAATCGATTCAGAAAAAATTGAATAGAAACAGTTAACAGAATTCGATTTTTATACATAACTTGTTCCTTTCATATATTTTCTATAGAATCTGCTCGACTCAAATTTTCCAAGTTTTTTTCATTCTACTTTTCCTTTCTTCTCATCAGGAAAATCAACCGAAAAAACTTCGAAAATTTGAGCCGAGGAAATTCTATAAAAAATATCTCAATAGAATAACTTATATAGAAAAATTGAATTCTATTGACTTTTTCTACTGAATATTTTTTATTGAACATTTTAATAGAATCGGCTAAAAACTAATAGAACAGTTCAATAGAAATTCAATAGAATTTTCTAACGAATTCGATAGGTTTTTCCGTTCAATTTTTTCGTCCGTGAAAATTCCGTGACAGTTCCGTAAGGTTTTTATTGAATGTTTCTCTCCGTGCATCTCATATAATCCCTTCACTTTGGATTGAAATTATCATTCCAGTTATTTAGAAACAGGATTGATTTGACAGTTTGCTCTCTCGATATCAGAAAAGGTAAAATCAATTGAACGATTGATCTGTGCAATTTGGAAAATTAGCAACTGTCGGATGCTTGAAGAACTATCAGTCACAATCGATTTCATTGCAGGACGGACAAATATAGATATCACATTTGTGCAGCAACGTGAGACCTAGGAGAAAAGTTCCTCTTTATCAGAGCCTGATTCAAAAATCAAGTTGACTAATCTCGTCTTATCAACCACTACTGAACTGATGATTCAGTTTATTGAGACTCTTTCCATTCTTATCTCTAAGTTGATCTCTAGACAATTGCAGAGAACTTGTTCCAGAAAGGTAAAATAATAAAGATAAACTGATTTGATGTTTAATTCTCTAGTAATTGAAACTGATTCGCTCAGAAAATTAAAGAGAAATGACCATCAAAGTAATTGGATAATTGATTTGAGGAATTCACGTAATTCAGAACTGTTGAATAGTTGTCGAATTATCGTCAGTTATCCTCAATTAATTTTATCACAAGCAGCATAAGCTCCAGACGAGAAAACCCTCTTAATCAGAATCTAATTTTAAAATCAAGTTGACTAATTCCGTTTCATCACTCCACTACTCAACTTGTGATTCAGTTCATTGACACTCTTTCCTTTCTTATCTCTAAACTGAATTCTAGCCAATTGAGAACTTGTAACAGAAAAATGAAAGGCTAAAGTTAAACTGATTCGATGTTTCTCTAGTTATTGAAACTAATTTGTCTTTCAGTAATAAATCTCTGACATTATCATTCAATTCATTCAAACTACCATTTCTACCATTTCTTCTCTCTAAATTCACTTCTTAATAATTGAGAAGAACTTGTAACACAAATATGAAAGAATAACGATAAACTGATTTGTTGTTTAGTACTCTAGTTACGGCAACAAATTTTCACCTGAACCATATTAGGCATTTGTCTTCCAGTAACAAATCTCCCATCCAGATCAATGACCATAAGAATTCTATCCCTCAGCCACCCCGACTTCAACCCCAATTGCGTGCACTCCATAGCATTTTCCTTCACAGCACCGAGTGATTTGACGGGAAACACAAACATATCACTGAGTTCCCCGACTTTTCGCCACTTGGTGGGTGGTCGTTCCCTCTTATTTCTGGACAGCCACCACCAAGCGAAGAAGACGGCTGTGCCTATGCCCACAGCTAACGCCGAGGCGTATCCCAGTCTCGTTCTGTCTGTGAATCATTTGATAGCATAATGTTTCTGCTTTTTAAGATAGGACATCTGGAAGAGTTGGGAACGTATGGAATTTAATCCATTTTGCCCCGTACTTTATTCTGAAGCTTCATTTTTTTCAGGTTTTATATTAAATACTAGGGGGCTACGCCCCCTGCTCGTTCCGCTCGCCAATCCCCATATGACCCACATATGACCCTCACCTTCCTTATTCGGACCCTTGTGACCTTTAATCTGACCCTTGTGACCCTTATTCGGACCCTCATGACCTTTAATCTGACCCTTGTGACCTTTAATCTGACCCTCACTTTCCTTATTCTAATGCTCGTGACCCTTATTTTGACCTTTGTGACCCCTAATTCTGTAGTCTTAATTTCGAGTACCAAATTTTTATCACCAGAAGTCAATTTGGATTTTTAAATGTTCGTTATTCCAGAGAATAAAATTAGGTATCTGTTACACAGAGAAGAATTTTCTGATTTTCAAGAACATGTCATTTAATCCATTTTGCCCCGTACTTTATTCTGAAGCTTCATTTTTTTCAGGTTTTATATTAAATACTAGGGGGCTACGCCCCCTGCTCGTTCCGCTCGCCAATCCCCATATGACCCACATATGACCCTCACCTTCCTTATTCGGACCCTTGTGACCTTTAATCTGACCCTTGTGACCCTTATTCGGACCCTCATGACCTTTAATCTGACCCTTGTGACCTTTAATCTGACCCTCACTTTCCTTATTCTAATGCTCGTGACCCTTATTTTGACCTTTGTGATCCCTAATTCTGTAGTCTTAATTTCGAGTACCAAATTTTTATCACGAAAAGTCAATTTGGATTTTTAAATGTTCGGTATTCCAGAGAATAAAATTAGGTATCTGTTACACAGAGAAGAATTTTCTGATTTTCAAGAACATGTCATTCATTTCAAGGGACTTGTCATTAATTAGAATAATCCTGATCATCAGTGATTTCTATCACTGAAATTTGGTGATAGATCCCTGAAAATTACAGATGACTTCCTGAAAATCAGTGACATTTCCCTGAAAATTATTCACAACATCCCTGAATTCCAGAATTTTGCGCTCATTAAATTTCACAATCGCAAATCCCTAAAAATTGAGAATAAATTTCTAAAAATTAGGAATATATCTCTGAAAATCAGTGCCATGTCCCTGAAAATCAAAAGTTTTTTCTGTGTTTTGTCTTTTTCTATCGAATGAAGCATGAGGCAATTAATTTTTTCAGATTACTGTTTTCTGGTGTTTTCATTAGGTCCAAAAAAAGATGAATTTAGATTCGATCGCCCTCGCATTTGTGTATATTGAACCCCCTTCATGAACCATTACAATCTTCAACTACTAAAAACGACTCTAACAACTACAGATTGAATGGATTCCCCCGCGATCAATTTAATATTCAAAGAAAGCCGATATCCAATCCTATTCTTCGGAATCTAACGAACATTTTAATAAAAAGCGTCGAAATCGGCTGAAAATTGTGGTTCAAATACCATTTTTCATACAAAAGCTCTTACAATGAAGTTTCGGAATAAAATATGGAGCAAAAGAGGCAAAAGGGGTTGAATTCAATATGTTTCCTACTTTCATAGATGTCTCATCATGTATCGAAGTCGTTCCGCGCGTCCTTTCGGCGACCAAGGACTTTCCAGTTGCGGGGCGGTTCCCCCTCAAGACACAAATGAGAAAGGGCTAATTTTCGATGCGTTAAATTCTTGGGCGATCGAAGTGGGTCAACCGAAGATGTTGGAGTTGAGGATGCTAATGAGAGTGATGAAACCAGTAAACGAACCGTTGCGTCCCGGTTGAAAGACAACAGATGGGATAATACTTCGTTTATAGATAGTGTGAATAATAGGTATGAATTAGACGGTTAAGTGGGGTAGTGCAGATACTCAAAAGGAATCTTTTTCGATTATCTGATGTTCAAGTATTTGAATTCAATGTTGGGAGATATCGTTGGATCTAATGCTTCCGGTATTCGGCCTGGATTCGATGTAAAATGTTGTTTTGCTTTCTGAGAAGGATGTTATAATCGTTTAAAAGGTTCTACACTGTTGGAAAAAATTGAAATTTCATGGACGGTCGACTAGTAATGTGTTTAGAAGAGTGACGTTGACGGCGATTGAAGAGGAAAAATCAGGACACTTCAGGTTTCACTGAAAATCCAGCGAAATTCCGAATTTTTGTGCAGCATTGAAATCAAAATTTCTGAATGTATTTGAATTTTCAATGGAATCATGAATATTCAGTACAGAATTACAATGAATTTTCAATTATTCGAAAATTTAAGGGCCGAGTTACCGGAATTTTCCTGATTTCTACTAAGTTATAGGGAATAATTGAAAAATGCGAATGTTCAAATTTCAAAAGAAGTTGAACCTTTGGATATAACAAAAATGTTTATGGAATTAATATGAACAATAAACTTATATGAACATTGAAAAAAATGGTAGAATAACGTTTTAAAAGACAATAACAAAACAAAAAAATGTGCATTTCGACAGTGGACTGTTTACCCCGAAGATTTTTATTTCCACACTTGTAAAATGGGACTAATTTTACTGGTAGATGCACCTAATTTCTTAAGCCTTAGAACATGAATTTTTCATCGCGCAAATTTTTAAAGATTATTTTGACAATTTTTTCTCAAATCGAATATTTAGAAAAGCGGACATTAACCCCTGTTTAATGAATAAATAAATACATAACTATCAAAAATAGTCTGCATAACTCTGCCTATCAATTTAAAAAAAAATCAAATTTTTTCGGTGTTAGCAATTGTTGAAACATCAAACTGACAAATTTTTCAGCAACAAAATGTCTGGAAACTTCATGCGAATTAGCACATGTCGGTGCTAAAAACTCCCAATGAAAAAGTTCATAGAATATTCCTAATGTCAAACGATACTCCTTTGAATACAAACTGTTGTGGGACAGGTTTGATTACGACTCTTCAACAAGTCAATTGCCACAAGTTGCAGGTGTAGCGAATGTACGAAAAAATTTCGCAAAAACACTCGCCTTACTCCTGACTATATTCATCACTCGCAGACGCTAATGAAGTCTTTTTCCTGGTTGTTCTCAAAATAGACTTGATATCAAATATTAACACACGTTCTTGGCAAAAATCAATACGACGAAAGGGCGTTGACGTTGCCGGAGACATTGCGAATGGAAATAAATCATGTAATAAGAATATATCGTTGATTTTGCATGACCCGTCCGGTCAACCATAAGCGGTAAAATTCCGGTTATTTCGTAATCAAAGTAGAGAGTTTATTTACGTAATTCCTCGTGAATTCTCATTCTAATTGATGTAGAGGGAATTGTAAAGAGAGTTGTTTACATACCCATTTGTATTCAATTTATTGATAACACCGGGTTTGGGTGATGACAAAAGTGGAATTTTAAATCCAGTTATTGACTCGAGTAATCCGCTGAGCGGCTGGGAGACAACTAAACGGCACTCGCGAACCCCCCGGCGAAAGAGCAGACTCTTATCCTCTCTCTTTGTCTTTCGCATTGGTATGAAGGAGAACCGTTATCGATTCACGCTACATCACTATCGCATTCATTGTAGTAAAAGGGGAGTTACCTCAGGCGTTTCTTACGGGGAACTTAATTAATTAAATGTTTATATGATGAGTGAGAAGGGATCGAGGAGGAGAGCACCTGAGAAACACAAGCTTCATTTTGAGACTTATGCTCAGAACTCAACTTGAAGACAAGTTTCAAGTTGTGTTCCAAAAGTCTTGACTGGAGTCTACGAAAGTCTCAAATTGATACCTTCGACAGTCTCATATTGACACTTTTACAAGTCTCAACTTAAGACTGAATGTCTCAAATTAAAACCTTCCAAAGTCTCACTTCCGTATTTTAAGACCTTCAAAATCGTAAAATTAGGTATTTTTTGGGTGAGGATTTTTTGATGGGACATGGACTGATTGAAAAGACATTATTTTCTTCTTGTTTCATATTTTTATTTGCGAGAAGATTATAATTTCATTTCCGTATTGCATCCGTTTGGTGAATGGATCTTGTAGCTTTCACTAAATTTATGATAATCGTTTATTTAGCGAACGTAAAAAAATTGTTATGTTGACAGACACGAGAAATTGGTCTCTGGTACTTTATTTTTTAAATGGGGGTCTTGTTTTTGGATCTTTATTATTTCGATTTGTTCTTCATCCCTTGAAATACACAGCCAAGGATCCATGCAAAAGTACCCTGCAATAAAAAATTAGTGTGAAAGAATGGAATAAAACGATTCCCAACAACACGTGATTTTGTAGGAAAATAAAGCATAGTTATTTTAGTAAATAAATTAGCAATATGCCTCCGAATGATTATAATAAGAATAATAATGGTAATAATAATAAAATGTAATAATTATAAAACTGAAAAATCTATTATTTGAAATAATAATAATTCTTTTCAGTAAAATATAATGATAGTAATGATGATGCACATCATTTTCTTCTATCGTATATTATTTATCGTTTCAGGTTATTTTGTTCAATTGAACTATATTTCCTCTTCAATCAATTGCGTTGGATTTCTTGTATACATTTAACGAAAGAATGATATTATCTTAACCATATTACGTTAAAACTTCGATAAAGTGGTAAAAAAAAACTTTTCTTATGCATAATTGAATGACTTTGAAACATCATATTTGAAGAAGCCGTTATACAGAAAAATCGAATTCTGTAGACTTTTTCTATTGAACATCTTAATAGAATCAGGCGAAAACTAATAGAAAGTTTAATAGAAATTCAATAGAATTTTCTAACGAATTCGATAGGCTTTTCTATTAAATTTTTTCGTGCGTGGAAATAGCAAGTTTTTTTCAATTTAACGCATCAGCTTTTCTCACGCAAATTAGTACGAAAATTTAAGCATTAACAGTACCAAAAACTATAGTTATTGAACTATAGGTGCGGTCGATGAGGAAATGCCGGCGAAAGTTACTCAAATACTCATACAGGGCTTACCCGTAAAGTGTAAGCATGAGACAGAAAAGGAACATTCCCTTGCCATAATCCCATATTGTTTCTTCCTCCTCTCTCTCCTCAGCATCCATCTCTGGATCGCTTCTGCTCCTCCTCGTACTTCGTCGCTCCCTCTCCGTACTGCAAGGGTTCTACGCTCTCTTCTTCTTCAAAATTTTCGATTATTGAAGCATAAGGAATGATAAATTAATATTGACGTTCGATTCCTTCGGTAGGATATCGGTAATTTCTTAGCGACAGTCCCCCACTTTAAAAGAATGCCACTATCCATTTATTTTGAATTGAGTTAATCGTTCAATTACATGATTAACTAAAAATTAACCTCCGAAAACATGGAAATCGCCGAAAATCGTCAGTAGTTTCTCCGTGAATTGAATACAATTGAATGTGGAGCGCTTGCTGTATCAATTCTCATGGAACACTCGAGGTATGCGTAAAATTGGCAATAACATGACTCACAGAAGAACAGAAATACTCTCCAAATTACCTCAACTGTTGCTGGTCCTTCCAGTCGTGTTTTCTGTTTCAATCGATTTCGTTTTTATCCACTGGGAAAAACTCACTCACTGCTTTCGTAGTGATATTTTTTTCCGGATATTTCCATTCACACTTCTATATCTTCATTCCGTCAGTCACTGCAACTTCCAGCGGGCATTCCTCACTTAGAACTTCCGAATCACCCACATGGCCTTTCCCTCCTCCAGTCACACTCTTCCCCGACCCTCCACTCTTCAATCCACACAGATGCGATCAAGTTTCCTCAATAGTGGCATCTTATCCAGTGCAATATCCATTGAATGTCAACTATTAGTACTTCCGTGCAAAAAACTTTTCGTCGTCTAAGCTGTTCTGAGCAGTCAGGCGCTCTGACTCTGGTAACGTGTTTGAATCTAGGAAAAAATAGACGTCAGGAAAAAATAGCCCAAGTCGCGTGCATTCTAACACGTGTCGGCTTCGTGGTTCATCTTTCTCTAGTCTATTTGTTCCATCTATATTTCAATTGTACTTTTGCGAAAGGGAAAAATCTCCAATAAATATTGAAATGGATAAAATGTACACGGACAGAAATTTTCCAGAAAAATTATAGTACCAGTACTGGAAAAATCACAATCCGCCGGCTGTAAAAAATTCTTGTGCTAAATCTCATTCAGTAAAATATTCATTGTACATCTATTAATACTCGTATTGAATAAAGTTTTCGAGGTGTAAGTTGTAGTGACTACTTTCTCCGGTTAAGGGGAATTGAATTGATGTGATTTTGTTCATTTTGTGATGAAGAAATGCTGTGGGAAGCAATGATATACACCCTTTCAATACTAGTAACGCAATTACGAGGAATTGAAAATAGAATCATATCGACGCGGATCGAATTTTGGAGAAATTACATAAGTCTTCATAAAGTGATTGAATTTATCAGAATTTTTCATAATTTTTTTCAAGATTTTTCTGTTCGATGAACGGAATAAATATTTCCCCTGGATTTCCAGAATGAAAACGTCTATTTCATTATGACGTACTTATTGTAACACAGCAGTTTTATCCGCGTCAATTATTCCTGTAAATTGTGAAAACCACGAAAACAAGAAATTCGCCAAATAAATCATGATCATAAGACAACTAATTTTGTATTTCTTCCGCTTTCCCTTCCCCCTCGCTAGCCGCTAAGCATCAACAATTCCTTTTCCTAGTTTACCGACATCGAGGAAAATTCAGCCACCGAAACAGCAAAGTGTTAACAATTTCAGTGAATTATTGCTTAAAATTGTCAATCCACTTTCCGCAGTCGATTCGTTTATTATCGTTAACAAGTGAAGATGACGAGTTCTGTCAGCACGAATCCATCGACCCTCTTGCCTCTCGGTGAGTGAATAGATGAAATTACCGGTGGAATAACCTACAAATATTCGAACGTGTTTACGTTGTGTTTTCAGAGCTCGTGGACAAGTGTATCGGATCGAGGATTCACATTATCATGAAGAATGATAAGGAAATTGTGGGGACTCTCCTGGGGTTCGACGATTTCGTGAATATGCTCCTGGAGGATGTCACTGAGAGCGAGGCCACCCCGGAGGGCAGGCGGGTTACCAAACTCGATCAGATTCTCCTGAATGGAAATAACATAACAATGGTGATTCATCATTTTTTTTCTTTTAAACACTTTTGACATTTTTTTAATGCTCATAAGTCAGTGATAAATTCATGAACTGAGCTAAATCTAGAGGAAGTATTGCACTTTATACGGAAAAAAATTATACTTTTCATCAACAGTTCAATGAATCATTGAAGTTTAAAAGAAAGTGTCAATTAGAAACATTTTTCAATTAAATTGGGATGGGGCAGAATGGAGGCTCGATTTTTTTCAGATATTCATAATTCTGAAACATTGCAACGAAGAAGAATTGTATTTTCCATCGAAAAAACATTATCCCATTACACTGGAATATTCATGGCTCAGAAACAGATTTGTCAATTGAGCTTGATTTAGGCCCATCACAAAGGAAATGAATTTGCCTTTCCATTAAAAAAAATTATTCCATTTCATCAATAATTAAATGAGTCATTAACATTTAAAAAAGACAAACGTGTCCATTTTACCCCACTCTCCGCCAATCGTTTATTGATTCTCATGTAGAATTTATTCGGAGTGAATGAATTATTTATTCTACATACTGAAAATATTTTCAGTGAAATATTTATGAGTTTATTGACTACCAACAAAAATATTGTTGAACAGAATACGATAATTTCAAAAATATTTTATTTGAGTTTTATATGATGCAAATACGTCATTTCCCCGGGTGTGGGATAACAAAAAAGTGATTATTAATTAGACTTTGTTTATTGCAGCTGGTGCCCGGTGGAGACATGCCAGATACGTAAAAAATTCCCTTCAAAATTCCATAATTTAAGGTTCAGATAATGATGCAAGTGACGTGATAATAAGTCCATTATTATTGTATTGTAACAAAATCGAGAACATTGTCTTTTCTAATTACATTATTTTTGAAGTATTTAACATGGCATTCAGACGATCAATTGTTGCCCCTAGTGGGGGACGACATTCAGGGGATTGTGACCATAACTCTCGGTATAGACTCTTGTAGTTTCCACTGCACTCGTCGTCGAGACCCTCATCAGAAGGGCGGGAGCCTTTCCCTGTGAGGTAAAGAATCGTGTGGGGGTGATAAGTGGAGAACGGAGATTCTCGGGACAATAGTTGCCAGGCGAGAATTCCGAGTGAGTAAATGTCTGAACTGGGACTGGGGGGACTTCCTTTAGTTATTTCTGGAGCTACGTAGCCTGGAGTTCCCTGGAAAATAATCAGACTTCTGTACAAATTTCTTTCAATAGCTCCAAGCGAAATTCAATTAATTGCTGAAATTTCAAGGAATTTTGTTATTGAAAATTCACAAGTTTATCGAAAAATTAATGGAAAATGTAAATTTCAGGTGAATATATTCATGAATGATCACTTCATTGAACAGTCAGTTCTATTTAGTATTAAATATTCATGTTTTGATTGAAAATTCAAGTAAGTTCAGGAATTTTTAGTCTTTTTGCTACTGAAACATTTGAAATTTCACTGAATTTCCAGTGAAATGTGACATTTCGTGACTCTTTTCCCCTTAAGTCATTTCCATTGTGGCTCTGATTTTATTTAAATCTTCCCACCTCGATAAAATGAAAATCAAGTCCGAGAGTTTTATTACTCACACGTAAAGTTGACACTGAATATTCCTCCCCAATGACAATGGAGTTACCAAAATCAGCGAGTTTGGGCTGGCCGTCGACAGCAATCAATACGTTTTTCGGCTTGACATCTGCATGAACAATACCTGCATTGTGACAAAAGTCAAGGGCACACGATATAGCCAGCCAAGTATTGATTCTCTCGGTTCTATCGAGTCCCGTCTCATCTAATTTGTCCTGCAGTGAAGTGCCGCACAACTCCATGGTCACCAGTGACCAGATCTTTCCCTCCTCCACGCCAAAGATGCGAATTATGTTGGAGTGAGCTAGAGACGCTGCATTTCGCTCTGCTCTGATCGTTACGTCTGAGTTTCTACGACGTTTAACGATTTTAGCGGCTACTTCACTGCCTGTTGAACAATAGGCACTGATTTTTTAGACTTACAAAATTAATATTTGCATTAATGAAATTGATGTTGATTTAATATCGACTTTATTTTAAAACATCCAGAATTTGAGATCGAATTATTGATTAATTTTTCACATATGTTAATAATTCGAAATTGATTTTTTAAATATTTTTTATTGCGGAAATTAAACATTCATTCATTCATTTTTTAAATTAAAATTTTGATGAAATCGATAAATTTTCCAACAAGAGGTACTGATGTTTGGGACTTATGAAAATAATATTGGTTTTAATGAAATTGATATTGACTTAATGTATTGAAATTTCATATGAATTATATCACATGAAATTTTTATTACTGAAAATTTTTACTCTTCATTTTATGTTTCATGAGAAACCGATCTGGGAGTCGGGTAAACTCATAGATTCCACATTTACCTTTGTAAGAAGCTCTATAAACTGTCCCAAACGCTCCGCACCCAATAATGCTGTTCTCCTCGACCTTCGGTGGTCCATCTTCGACGATTTTCACACGATTTGGAGTATCAATACTCAAAAAACGCCTACTCTTACCTTTCGTAGGAGTTTTTGGGCTCAAAGCTCGTCTGAAACATGCACTCCCCCAGATTTTCACCGACTCAAAAAAATCCCACACTCATTTGTGGATGACTCACCTGACACTGAGAAAATTCTTCGACGGACTTGGCGATAAAACACGCTGCGTGATCGCCGAGACGACGATCCGCGGTGACGATGCCATTATTATCACATCAAGATGTTTGTATACGATTTCTCAGTGATTGGAATAATCCGAGCCATCTTATTCTCTCAGACGTGAACTCAGTGTTTACATTCCACAGGATTGGAATACAAAAGTACGACGAAATAAACACACACAAAGCAAATAGAGGACAAAATTAAAATATGATTTATTCATTACTCGTAATACTGTACGTTAACTCAATTATTTACATAATACTATATTAACGAATCTCTGAATTATCTCTATTATATCATCTGCAGTGGCATCAATAGTATACGTGATCGATAAAATTGGAGAATTCATCAAATGTTTTACTCCCCTTCGCAGTTGTTAATTCAACAACAATAAACATTCGTAGGTGTTCCGATAGTTGATTGCATAGTATCAATAGTCTATGAGTCTATCACAATTAAGTAACTATGGGGGGGGGGGGTTTAAGATTTAATCTTCTGTTAAAAGTACAAGTGGAGCATTTTTCTCGACTCTCTCCCCTCACTTTAATCAATCAAAAATACAATATATCTTTCACTCTGCCTTTATTTTTGTCTTAAACCTCAACTGTCCTCTCAAAATATGTGGAATTATCATGCCTACTTTAACGGCTCTAAATTCAACACGTGTAAACCTATTCACCGTTAAAATTATCCACCCAACACATTACAAAATATATTTATCTTTCTCTAATACCCTCGCGAATTAAAACGTCACCAAGCATTGTTCTCCATTCCCCTACGATTTCTGATCAACTAAAATTGAAAATATGGATGGGATATATCTGCTAATGAGATTCACATTGTGCTTGGCTCCGTAATGATATAATCAACCATTCAGGTACATTATTCAAATATAATAAACTCTTATGGCATTCATCTTATTGTCCAACTCGAAACTCTTGCTTTTTGATTGTATTTCATCACGAAAAATATGGATTCTTGAACAAGTCTTTCGAGCAGGTTTACAAGCCTTGAATTTTCACAAATCTCTCCTCATTTGTTCGTTTGTTCTTCTAATCGTAAGTACATTAATCATCAAACCTTGGCAAATACAGCACCACTATTCATTCACATACCATTACAATCCATTCAAACGGATTTTAAATCCCCTCGAAATCATCAATCAGGTATTGCTGAGGTAGCATCAAGTCCAACGATTCACAATATTTCAAGTTTTTAAAAAGTCGAAGGAAAAAACGGAATAAATAATTGTTAGTAGCACCAATGATCAATGTCTTTTTGTTCATCTAAGAAACTCTTGAGTGTGACGAGAAACATAAAACTGAGCGATGTGCAGTATCACTACAATAAAACCCTAATAACTATCTATGTACACTAGTGATATCTCGAATATTTCCCAATGCTGACACCAAGAAATATCCACTCCCTCTAGACCCCGCTAGTCCCCCTAAACAATGAAATCCCTAACTACACGCTCTATCAATTATTAATTGACAATTATTCACCTAAAAAAATGATAAGCCCACCTACAATGTCAATAAGTACTCACATACCCATATGTGTGAACAATTCAACACAGGAGGGTGAGGATACCCCTCGCTAAATTCCCCATCAACAAATCCTCGAACCTTAAAATGCAAATATTGAGCCAATGATTAACGATAAACAATCTCAACTCATCTGCATCGATGTTGCAAATTGGAACAATATCTGATGAATAATAAAGACTCGATCGAAGGTATAGAATTCAATAAGGCACAAACTGTTCTAACCAGGTAATGGGGCCTCCTCGTAGAAATCAGGTTCATCCTCAACAGTCTCATGATCTGGCTCTTTAGTGTCAAGTGCACGTAATTCAGCTGGTGTAAAGAATCTCGTCATCTGTGCTCTCAGTGGTATCATGAGTATGAGAAAGAATGGCAGTGCAAGGGCAGCCGTTGTACTCTTAACAATCCACAGGACGGTCAAACAGAATATCTGAATGAGTGTGAAAATATGCATTTTGTATGTTTGCACACGTCTGACATAATTGGCGCCCCCATGATGCTTGACAGGCATGAAAAATAGTTTAACACGATCGAATAGTTGCACCCCATTGGTAGATGATATTCCCATGTAGAGGAAGACCCCGAGGAGAACAGCCATGGGTACTCGTCTGAGAAGCGGTGCCATGAGCACAGAGACCCCAACGAGAATGGAGACAAGAAGTGCTGATACCCTCTGCTCCTTCACTTCGACGATATGCGGCTTATCACCAGGTGCATGAGTCCTGGACATTATCGTAACAGCTGATACGTGTGTCAACGATCTCACTGATGCTGCTGAACACCAGGGTGCACCCATGAAACCACATCCCACATTCATTAAACAAACCACCACAATGTCCATGTGATAGCCACACCCTTTTTTCAATTTTCTCTCCTTCTTATCAATTATCAACTCCGATATCTGAGTCTCCATGAACACAAGAATGTAAACTAGTAATGCTGGTATTGCACAGGCAAATGCCATCCACACAGGCACAGGATTGTCACCACCACTTGGTGAAACAATCCAACTTCTACTTCGTATCGAGGGGCTCAAACCCTCTGGCACCAGCAGCTTCTCGGTTTTAACGTCAGCCAGAAAATCAATCAGCACAAATGTTATTATACTGAGTGGCACACCAAAGTCACCAAACGCTCGTCTAGCACTTCGACCCAAGTAGTGACTGTTCCTGAATATTCTCAAGTAATAAGCACCCAGAAATGTTCCCAAACAGAGGATAGTGCACATTAGTGCAGTGTTGGGTTGATTGATAAGTAAATTCGCTGAGTTGTATTTTGGTAAGGTTCCATTTGAGCAGATATCCTCACTAACTAGTGTCCCATTCATCCTCACATCACCATCAGCAGTGGAATTCATCAATGACGTGCTGCTGTCATCATCGCAGATGAAACAGTACTCATGAAGGAGTGGATTTCTCTGAAAATAATTAACAAGTTTGACGAATGTCTCGACAATGTACAGAAGTGATATTAAACCAGTGAAAATTTCCTCGGTGAATCGTGTGAACAGTCTCACGAGCACTGAACCCTCAGCACAAGCCACTGTCAGGGCGATTATTCCCATCCATCCACCGACGTACACCCGCATCGTTAAAAAATCAAGACCATTTTGATTGCAAAAGTTGTAGAGACTCTCGTCAAATAGCAGAAGAGGTCCAGTAGTTCCGATAATCACCAGTGGTTGAGTTGAAAAAAGAGCCATTATGATTCCCGTCCAGCAGCAGGAGACCAGTGTCTCGGAAATACCGATAATGTTGCGTGTTTTGTCACTGATGAGACCCCCAAATGTGATGGCAGCGCAGAGGGCAGCGAAGTACATGAAAATGGCAGCAGCGAGACAAGAGGAGTTGAGACCGTCAGTGAAGTCAGATAGATAGAAGGAATACCTTCGTTTGATGTCGTTGATGAGACCCCCGAAGGGCCTTCGAGTCCGCCTCAAGGGGTCACTGTCGTCTGGCGGTTTGCCATCCTCACCTGCGAGGAGAGCCTTCTTCATAGCCAGCGATTCATTCGCCTTTTCCACTCTAGCAGCTTTTGCAAGTGCCTTTGCTTTGCGATTTCTTATCGCTTCGCTCTTGGATTTGAGCTCGTCGAAGGGGAGCAACGCCTGTCGCTCCCAGTCCCCAGGGGGAAGGACTATCGAGTCGTCCAGGAACTCGTTTATCGCTGAGAGAAGCTCTCGACGTTCTGTTGCTTTGTAAGCGACCTTGTGGAAGGATGTGTTTGCCATCAATGTTGATATCGATCTTCCTATCTCGTGGTAATCCAGGTCAGCGTTGCGAGGGCCCAGAAGGGTGAACATGAATCTCACTGGGATATTCACTTCGGTTATCGATGGGAGGAGAACCCCCTCGGCTAGGCGGACGAAGGCTATTGTCGGCTGATCCAGAAAATCCACTGCACCCACGAGGACCACCGTTGCTTCTGCTCCTGCTGGAATTCTCTTCAGAATGTACTCGTTGCGGTTCTTCTTGAGGTCCTCACTGCTGCTTGTGTACGTCATCTCTTCTTTCATGTCTATCGTCGTGTGGTTGGGGTCCGGGGGGTACCCTGGGAGAATCTTCGACTTAGCGTCTTGCAGGTTCTGGGGAAATAAAGAGGGGGATTGGAGTTAGAGAGGTGAAGATTTTTGGCTTGGAGACTGATTATTGACAGGGATTATGACTCTGCTTTGAATGATAAACACAGAGTGAATCCTAAATATATTTATGATTGGGTTTGGACAGCAACGTGTGGTAGAACGTAATGAACAGAATGCTTTATCGGTTGTGGGGCTGAGTGATTGATGGACACGTACAAAAAATTTCGTGGGAAAGCGTAACGAATTCGCGGCAAAATTCTATTGGATTTCTCGTGTTTTTTAGTCGTTTTGGGCCGTTTGTGGTGTAAAATTCCGCGGGTTAGCTCCGCGTTTTTCTCGGTTTTCGAGAATATTCTGCAGAAGAAATCAGTAGAATTCCATTTTTCTATAGAATTTATGCCGTTGAGGTATATTTATAGAAACTCTTAAGGATATTTAAGTATATTTGACATTTCGATTCACACCTGACATAATTATTATTCGATAATTATTATTTTTTTAAACATTTGTTGTTTACAAATTATTCATAGTAAATATTCGTAATTTTCAGAAATTTAAATTTAACCCTGCAAAGTCAAATGAGGCTCAAATGAAAGCTCTCATGTTCGACTGCAAAAGTAGAAAAGTATTCCATTGGAGAAAAAATAGCCAAAATAATTGGATATCCTTAATTAAAAGAAAATGAACATAGAGTGGAAGGAACTGAGGAAATCCATATAAAATAGTCTCTATTGGACATTTGCGGAATGCTTCAATAGAATCGACTAAAACCTAATAGAATTTCCACTGGAAATTCAATAGAAATCCAATAGAAGTTTCTATCGAATTCGCTAGGTTTTTCCATGAAACTCTTACGTGCGTGGACTTACAGTACAGGGACTATCTCCACTGAATGCCTAATTTTCGAGCTTCTTTGTAATTATTTGATACCTGTAGG